ACTTTTCAGGATTCCGACGGAACAAGTGGAGTACGAACCAATGGTTGGTCGCCGGCTAACATGGGACTGCATCTCCACTGCTCCACTGCCCTGTGGATCAGACCTTTAGGCTGAAAGCTCCGGGTGTGGCCCCCCCCCAAGGAAACCACCACTGTCGTTGGTCGATTGAACCTTTCTTGTGTTATTTATCCCAGATGGAAATGCCAAGTGACATTTACTACTCAATGGCTGCTATCATTTTGTTATTTAATATAGGACTCTGTTGTATGTGTTGTTTTTCCGTCGTTCCTACTCGTATATGTACATTTCGGTTTATAATACTAACAAGGTTTGGTATTTCCTTACTTGTCTTGCGTATTGTCGTATCAAATTCAGTTCGTTTGCGGGGCCACTACATACTTTACTTCTATCAACACAACTAGGACCTACCCCACGTGTCGTTTTCAATCTACAAAACTCCTCTGTATATGCTCCGCAGAGTACCTGAACATGTAATGTGCGAAATACAAATTTTATGAGCACACAGTCATGACATTACAAATTAGTGGCATTCGTTCAACTTGATGACTGATTTGCACTTCACCCTGTAGTCATTATAAATTCAAATATAACATGTTCAGTTGTACTCATCTAGTCCTATCTGTCCTAGATTGGAATCTTCTGGGAATTCTTACTTGGTAAATCAATTCATTACTTCTGGTCACCATATTAACGTTGCGATGGAGACCGCGATTTGACACTTGGATGAACATTCAGATATAGAACTTTGGCAGACGTTTATCACGTGGTGAACCTCATTCACGTAATTCATATATATTTTGTCACGTTATCTGCCTTAAGTTTGGGGGAAGTTGAACATATCAGATGTCTTTGTTACCCACCAATAATAACAAGCTCAGTAATTCGGATGTTACAAACTTTCACGATTCTAGTAATCACACTCTATACTTATTTATTACCTCGAGTAACGCACTTCACACCCAAAAAATAATAACATATAAGCGATGGTGATTTTCCTGATTCGATTATGGTCATGAATTGCACCAAATCTATCATTCCAGTTGGAGGCCTGAAATCATTAAAACCCGATTCTGTAATTAGACCTACAGAAGTTTCTGCTTCAAGTATTTCTGATCATAAACTTTCTGTTGTAAAACGTTATAATTTATTTATTAAGACGGCAAATCTTCAGTCATAATCTATGAATTTTTCGTCTCTGATTGTGGGAAATCCGTTCCTATCCTATAAATTCAATAATGCTTCAATTACAACTTTCCTAGGTGACCACTGAGGGAAACTTTGATGGACGGCCTGACGACCTGTTGACTATAGAATCGAGGTGGGAAGATTTGTTCACAACTTCAAAAGGTCTATATTCTGATACTATGGGAGAACATGCTAAGAACTTGGAGACAAATGCTATTTCTAGTACTGCTGCAAGATTTGAGGCCGCGGAGAGGAGAATAGATGAGATCTTTTATTACAGCGATCCCAGACCGAATACGAGAGAAACATTGACAGAATTGCTCGGACGAAAAATGTTCGTTTGCATGTTGCATGTTTAAAGTGTGCTGACGATACATACAATCACATAACTGATCTTCAACAGCTTAATAATAGTGTTAGATTTGTAAGATTATGGCCCAGTGCAGCAATGGTACCATGATTATAAACTTAATCCTGAAATTGTAGATTTGCAATATTGTGACTACCTGATCTATGAGATCTTACATGAGAGTCCCATTATTGTCTACAAAGACTCGTCGTATCGTGAGAATCAGCAACATAAAGTCTAGTGTTTTTGAAGGACAAGTTTGGGCTAAGGAGAGAACAGTGTGTTTAATGTGAAAAGGTTTGGACTACACAAATTGACCATGCCTGAAGGGCTGAGCCATGCCATGTTGATTAATTAACTGTTTTCACATTCATCGTTGTTGGCCTTCTCTATGTGTCAAGTGTTGAACATCTATTTTCCAACTACAGATCTATGGTCCGTATACATTTCAGTCACATCAACCAAACACATGACAAGGACTCAGGCAAGTATATTTCGATTAACTTCGTTAATTCCAGTACTAATGAGTTTCTTCTAGACAGTAATAAACATAACTTTAAAATAAAATCAAAGATATGTTCAAGAAAGCTGTCTGAAAGACATACCATAAGTCACAAAAAACCCAACATCCACTTAAGCTGTGGCAGTTGAGATGCTTGATTCCTCACTCACTGCCAATTTCAAATAAGATACAGCTGTGCTCATCTAGTTCTATCTGTCTTAAATTGGTCTATTCGACTACTTTCAGTCACCATGAAAATATTCGCCATTTTTAGTTAACATACCTAATACAGCGGTGTTTTTCCATAGCTGAGTTAGTTTTGTGAAAATTACTATTTTGCATTTGGTAAATAAGGGAGGAACGAATCGAGCAAAGAAATTTCTTTACAACTAGTTTTTCATCATGGCTCTGCACTTATATATATATGATCTAAAATAATGAAATAATACTCATCGAGTGGATACGTTAGGTAATAATTACATAGTGACATTTCGATTATGAATTAACAGTGAGTAATTGGAAGAAAGAGGATTAATAATATTCAAAGTAATTATTCGAAAATCAAGAAGTTGCTACGTTGCATAATATATGAAGAGAAGAAAAAACAGAACTTTTAAAACGTTTCTCGTTTGTTTTCCTTTGGTTTGTTTCTATTTATCTTAATATCTGAAGTCTGCTTATGTACATGTTTGTGATTATTACTGTTATTGTTGTGATGATTGATTACAATGTTTTGAATTATTTGAATTATAGCACGAACTAAGAGTCCCAGAAATAACGCAATTGAATTAAGAAGTAAGACACAAGCGCAAGCGAATGTATTGTATTTGGAATTCGGATTCGAGCATTCAACAAGCACAAAGGCATAATTAGTTCATTCAAACACCACATTGATCCCTCGACAAATCAGTTTTTTTCGTCTCTTGTTTTACTTCTAAATGCATTTTATTCATAAGAATCCAAAGTCTATAACTAAATACAAATTATCTTATGTTACACATAACTAAATTAACTTATGAAATTCATTTTATCTTCACCACATATATATGACACAGTAATTGAGGTTTGATTATCCTTTGTAATTAATTTGTAGCGTGGTGTCGAGTTGAGGTTAACTATGGACACCGCTACCAAAAAACACGTACGAAGTTAATCAGAAGGCGAAGGTTGGACGTAACCAAATAAATCCATAAAATCTCCGAGAAGCCAAATATCAGAAGGCAATTAATGGACCAAATCGAGATATATTCGCTGGCGATCTCGTGGTATCGAAATGATACCGAGATCGTGCCAGGATACAAGCTTGGTTACAGAACGTAATCGGATTCGCGCGAAGTTACAATCAAAGTGTAAGTAAAAGAATGGAAGCATAAAATAGCTGTCATTAGCACAGTCAAACAAGAGCACATTAAAACAAGCACTGGTACAGTTGGTTATAATAATAATTGTTTCTATTAAACCAGTCGTATTCTCGTGATAAATGTGAGTCACTACAAATTGTGACTTTCATAGCATCACTTCAAACACTTAATGCACAAACGCTTAGTCTGCAGTCAAATCTTACTGCATTAATAAGTTGTTTTCTTTTTTATTTATTTTTGTTCTTATTTTGTCAATCATTTGGAGATGCGTACATAATAATCTACTCTTGTTCTGCGTGCACAAACAAGCTTATTAAACTATTTACACATTTCGTGTTCCCTTCATTTCTATTCCCCTATTTTCCTCCTGTCCTTCTTTAAAGTCAACTCAATATTCTCAATTACACAGAACCTGCTTTCTTTAAATAATTTAGATATTATGCCAACATTATTGAAAATCGTGTATCGTTGCATTTCTTAAGAAATCCAAATTGCTTCTTCACAGCATTTACGTACCCATAGGTAGTTTGCGAATAATAATAACCTTTGATTGGTTACTAGACAGTGTGAAAAGCAATTGTAAACGTCCAGGCTGTCAATACTCTGTGGAAATTGGTATTCAGTGAGGTGAGTATAAAGGATGGTACCACGAAAATTGCACGAATCCAATGCTTGTGGCTTTCAAACTGTTTAGCAAAAATAGCTGCGTGTGGTTGTCAGCAGTGCTGCTCGAACGCAAACAGCTTCCTATCCGAAACTATTACAGTGGAAAATGCTGATAAAAGATGTACTGGAAAGTGTAATCGGAACACATCAAATGGTGCTCACTTGGTCGATGCATAGATTGATGTGAAGTTACCTCAAATAAACTCACATTCGATTGTCTTACATGGGCCAATTGAAGAGGGATGACCTCAACTCGACCCCACGCTACAACCTTTAGGTAGGTCTTTCAGAAAAAAAGCTCAGAAATGGAAGGTCCTTCCATCCCGCACCCTCTGAATGGCAGCTAGCAGGAGACGCTTGGAAAACCTAATCTCAATGCTAGGTCTGTTTCTGGAAGAAAAAACGACAACCTAACTACCTAAGTTATTGATAACCATCCAGGAACTCATGAAAGTTGATAAATAGTCACAAATGGAGAATGAGAAATGAACCAATGTTTCTGGAGAAATAGCGGTCCCCTAAACGGAAGCTGAGAAATTGAAGACTGGTCATAGTGATAGGTAAGTTATCTTTCATAGAGTCATAGAGATTGAACCCCAAATTCGTTTAAAGCATGACATCGAGTTCATAAAGGATGTAATTAACCAGCTAATGCCTTATGATATTTCTGGAGTCATCTTGCTAAAGGTTTATATCAGTGTCTATGGTAGAGACTCCCTTCCCTCCAGTTTATACAACACTCCCTCACACACTGGACACTGCAACCATTAAAAAACTCAATTTTTAGTCTACCAAATGAGCTTGATATAGGCAAACCCATGAGACCCGATGAAATACAATCTAGGTTACTAAAGAATTAGCAAATTTTGTCGCGAACGATGCGGGAGGTTCGATTTTTCAAGGTGGTTACATAGGTATGTATACCGTCCTCCGAAATGTTGCTTTGCTCTCTTCAAAACATATTGGAATTCAACCTCTTTGTTCGCAAACACATACTTTGATAAAACAGCACCGTTTGTATGCAGTTTTGCCCGGGAAAATTATGCCCTTACCACTTGGTTAGTGTCCCTATTACTTGTTATTTACGTATGTTAGTTTCCACAGTAGTTTCTAGAAACGCAAGTCATGAGAGAAAAATGCCTAAAAGAGTCTCGGACTTCATGTCACGTGTATTCCTTGATAATATGGTAGGCAACTTACATCACTGCTAAATATAATTAGCACTTCTATATTATGTTGGGTCTTGTTCCTTCATTGCTTCTAATTTTTTTTGTCAACATATTTATTGGGCCAGCAGAGTTGACGGACATACCAGAGGACTATGAGCCACGTCACTGGGAATATCACAAAGTGGGTTATTTTATTCATTTACTCATTTTTAGCACCCTATTACGCGCTTCATTGCTAAGTACATGTGCGAACATCCTCAAAAGTTGTATGAATCCTCTTTAGCGGAATTGGATGAGGTTCGATATACTAAGGAGCTGGTGTAAGTCGTTAACTATCATTGTTTGTGCAACTGACGGTGTGAACGAATACTCGTATAATCCTTGGTGTTATTTTTGAACAGTCAAATAATATGTAATATTACTAATCTTCAAATATCAACTTCATTATCCCAGTAAAAATTAAATCATCCTCCAGCCCTAACCATTTCCATTTTCCTAAGAGTAGTGACTGGAACAATTTGTAACTCCATTCTCCAGAAACATATGTGAAGAAGGGAATATTGTTGTGGATAAAGATAGTCAAAACATCCAGACTTATCAAGTTTGTTCCAAGAGCTTCATGGAGCGGCATTTAGGAACCACTAAGGTGTTTAGAGCGTTCCTTCTTTTTACCTAACCAAGTGTTATAATAAAATAATCGGGATACTAGTATCTGTCCACATTTCTTAGAAATATTGTTCACATCTGCTGGGATCACCGAGTAAGTAATTGTGAGGTTAGACGCGGGTATTAGGGAATGATGGTAAGTCGGTTGGTGACTTTGTGAATCTTCATTGACTGAGATGGTTCGGCCACGTGTTACGTATGCCTGAACACCGCTTGCCGTGGTGTTGGGGACGGTTGGAAGAAAGTTCGGGGCGACAAAACCAAAATGTGGCATCAGTCCATTAAGTCACTAACATCTGCTCTGAACCATTATGGCAGATGAAGGCTACTTAGTTGGGTTCTACGCGACTATCGTAACCAATGGCTTGAAACTGGGTGATATGGCTGAGAATCTATCACAATGGCGTAGGTGTATACACTCCTTGTCTTCCCCTAAACTGTGAGATTAGAATTACTTTATACATTTCTTTCTACGAACTAATTCTTTCTCCTTATATCACATCCTTATATGAAATCTGTTTTACTACCATTGAAGTAAATGCTTCTATGAATTTGACGATCATCTTGTTGTGTTAATGAGGTGTGGCAACTTGGACCGATGCATAATATGTGCCTGGCTCTACGTTAACTGACTGAGTTGGGATATTGTAGTGGGATTAACTTCGACCAGGTGACTAGTCGATTGTAGTCGCTCATCGACCCAAACCACTAATCTTAAGTGGGTATCAGATTATGGTCAGTGACTTATTATTGCTAATACACAGAATATTCAGTGGAACTATTATGACCATAAGATGTTTATATAAAACTAGTAACCATGGATGAAAATAAGTGTACATTTCTTCCCGTTTCAATACACCTAGGAGTGCGTATTTATGCGACAGAAGATTTCTGCGTATTAGCATTTAAGACGACTATATCAGCCCGTATCCAGATATTCAGTAAACTTTATTTGTTTTTGATTATCTACATCACAAAGACACCAAAGCCTATTTAGAAGTTTGAGAGCGATCCAGCCGAAACACGTCCTCCCACAGCACCAGTAAAACAATGCGTATAAGTGTTTTATGTATGAGATCCCACAAATCTTACACAAGGAATAGAAAATTTGATGTTCAGATAGTGCTAACAAGTTTGGAGTAGCAACTGCATCTGATGAAATGTATACTATTTCACCGCATATATTTATTTTATTTCAACACATAGATAATGGTACAAAGAGGCACCAAATACATATGCGCCACGCAAATATCATTCGATATTTGTGAGGGCTGTGATACTGCCCGGGTGCCCAAACCGCATATAAGTCACTATTGATAAGAAAAATAGTGTCCCTGAGGCCATCTTTGAGTCTGATAACGCAAAAGTTATTAATCTTCGCGGTTAGCTGTCATGACCGTCACTTTTTGTGGCTATGGGTCTGCTTAACTGGCTTGTGTTTAGTACTGGAGACTCCAATCTGACGACGTATAAAAAAACTCGTGATGTAGATTCATTTGATCACGGAAGTAAATCAAAATGATGTATGCGTAAACTGTCTTTTGCATGATTTGTTTGCATTCGGATTAACAGTCAGGTTTGTATAAATTAAAGTAGTATATAACATTACTTAACTAATCATCTGTTTTTGCTACCCACCACTGCTCACGATCATTACGTAGGCTTTTTATTAACCTACGTTTAAGCTGCCTCCGCTCTTCATCGTGTTCGAAGATAGAAAGGCTGAGTTTCCGAGCATCTATTGGTTCTGTTGACGCCACTGAAATCCACTGGTCTTTCCTTACCTTTTGGTTCAATTTATTAGAAGATTTCATTGCTGTTTCCATAGCTTTTTGGATATCATACCAAGCCACCTTGGGGTGGATATCATATTCAGGGTTGACTAACTAACTTTTTCATCATTGAGTTGAACTCGAAGGTGTTTTCTTGGTGTGGCTTTTCCATATCCAGTCAGTAACAACGTAGAACTTCGTACGTACGTACATCAGTTCGAGTTGCCATACCACATTAGCACAGAGATGCAATTGTCGATTCAAATTCCGTAGTGGTAGAAGTAGTAAGAGTATGAGCAGTAATACGATAGATTAGGGTTTGAAGATGTTATTCAAGGAGTATAATTCAGCGAAATAAATTTGGAAAGAAAGAAAAAGGGACATGAAGAATTCAGATTAGAATTTGGGAGAGCACAAAGAGTGGATACACCTGCGCCATTGCAAACAATTTTGAGCCATGTAATTCAGGGTCTATAACCATCGGCTGCTATCATCTCGCGGGTTAGGCGTTAAAGTATTATTGAAGCTAATATTTTAGACACTATATTAGTCAAACTGATTCCTCTGTGATTGTCACAAGAGGACTTTTGTCCTTTCTTATAGACTGGCACAATCGGTGATTGAGACCAGTCAGATGGGATTATGTCCAGTTCCCAAATTCTACCTAAGACCTCAGTTAATCTCACTGCTAATACTGAACCACCATCCTTAAAAATCCCAGGAGTAAACCTGTCAGGGCCTGCTACTCTCCCTCGCTTCAGATTTCCGGTAGCTTTTTCAACTTCGTAAGGAGACGGAGGACCTACATTAACTTGCCATTCAGGTTGACTGGAGATCGTGGGAAACCGAAGTGTGGCTAAAGGCCAGTTGAACTGATCCCTAAAGTGTTCTGCCCATCGATCCAATCTCCTGGATTGAGAATGAATAATATGTTCATCTTTTTCCGAGATAGATTCGCCTACAGTTGGGTTCCTAATACCGGTTTCCTTAACAAGTCTGAATAGTTGTCTGCTGTTGCCTATTGCCGCTGCCTTTTCCATCTCTCTTGCTTTCGCTACTCACCACTAGTCGCGATCATTGCGTAGGCTTCTTGTCAGCTTGCGCTTAAGCTGACTACGCTCTTCGTTATATTCAGTGCCAGATGGAATGAATTTTCGAGCATCTATCTGTGTGGTAGATGCTGTTGAGATCCAGTGCTTCTCCCTAACCTTGTGGTTTACCATACTAGCAGATATCACTGCTGTTTCCACAGTTTTTCAGATGTCATTCCATGCTGCCTCGGGGCGGACATCACATACATGGCTGCCTAACTGTTTTTCTAGTTGTTCCTGAAATATATTCTTAGCTTGACTATCATTAAGTAGGACCCTAAGAGGTTTTCTTTGAAGCGTTTTTGCTACGTCCAGTGAGACGCAGATAAATATCCACATCCAGTAATGCTCAAACAAATACGTGCTCGAACTACAGTATAATCCGTGTATAAAAATCTTTTCCAGAATGAACGATAGTCTTCTATCGAGCCCCTTCAACGATGGTTAATGACAATGTAGTCTGAGTCACTTGTGGAGGTCGCCACATCAGACGATGTTTTCCTTATATTTAGTGTTGGTGTTTGGCGAAAGTAGATGGTTATCTGGCTATATTTGTAGAAGACGGTCGTCATTATCTATTCACTGAGCCTCAACACCGTAGGATCCGCTTAAGTGTCCCTCAGTTTGGTCTATTTTACCTACTTGAGCATTAAAATCACCTGAAAGCATTGCTGCATCATAGCGTTTAGCTTTTTGAAAGGGTTGAACAACTCCCTATAAAATGTATCCTTAACTTTATCCGAGCTGCAGTCAGCGTGAGCGTAGGCAAACACAACGAAAAAGCAACAGCATGTGCCCTTGTGTTTCCGAGTCCTTACTATCCCGTTTGGTCGGACAGCACAAAAGCAACTGTGTATTGAAATTCTGTCTGACAGCCTGTTATACTTTAGAACTTAATGTTATACCTACACTAACGAGGCCGTGGGAAGTAGCAGCGGGGACTTCAGATATTCGAAGAGTAAATCGTGTCCGTTCTTTATAATGACAAGTTGAGGTCAAATAAATGACTGACTATATTTGGACCTTGTACGCGCGTTTCGGAGACATAGCGTACGTCAGTGATTGGATATTTAGAGTCTTAACTAAGAAAGCCTGTTGTCTTATCTGACACAATGTTCGAACACTAAAAGCTCCAACATGTAGTTTGGAGCCTGGTTTCAGGAGACCAAGAATAACACTTCGTGAACTCGAATCATTAACATTGGTGGCGCGTGGCGATAAAGATAATTGAGGAGGGTTAGTCGTGAGGATGAAAGAATTGTCATGAGGTGAGGGAGAGATTCGATCACGAACAAGATTATCTTGGGTGCTGATAAAGGTATGGGGGCGGTTTCTCACGTCGTTGAAGGATATTTCCTCTTGAGGAACTTGAAAAATTAGCTAAATTAGTGGTGGTCTTGGCGACCTGGGTGAGTGACCGCAGAGCCGGTTGCGCATGGCCTTCTTATGGGACGTTTTTGATGTGTTAGTTCCGCTCTTCGAAAGGCCTTATAATCGGAGAAAGAAATCCATCGGGTAAGGTGAGATGTGACATTTTCAGGGTCGACCACTCCTAACCCCTTCCTTCTGTTGTGAGAAGGGAGCATCGACCAAAGGTTCTGGTTGTTCAAGGAAAACAACTCACTGCTGTCACACAACTCTACAGTCAGCAGTACGACTTTGCCCTCGGGCCTTGGGTTGCCGCTTTTAGTCTTACCGTTCTCCAACTGACCAGCATGGGATAGTAGGACTTAAACGAACAATTATTCCGACCACAAAATTACAGTTATTTGGTAAAATAGAAAAACCATACTATGATACTTAATTTGCAAAATGTTCAATAATTGTCTCGAAATTCGTTGTTCTTGCATTTCCATACCAATTTCTTTCTATTCCCGCTCTTCCTTTCTTGATCTTCCCCATCTTCTGCTGCCAGACATTACATTCCTGACTCGCGTCATATACTACTTATATCAATATAAGTAGCACGCACCACAGCAGCAACTATCGTGTGTGAGAATAGTCTAGAACAAATGTTAAGACATCCAACCCAAAATATAGCATCAGTCCATTAAGTCATGTTAATAGGTACAGACTACCTGGTTGGGGTCCGCGTGATTATCGTAACCAATGGTTAGGGACTTTGAATGACGTGGCTCAAAATCGTTTGGAGTGGCGCAGGTGCATCCATTCTTTATCTTCCCTCGAATCCTGACATTCTGAATTCCCCAAATTTTTTTATTGCACTGATTTATATTTTCTTCTCTTATCGTATCTTTTATCCCGAATCGTTTTTATTAGCACTGATACTGATACTACCTCTACTATTCTGAGACTTGACCTGATCATTCCATCTCTCTGTGTTTATGGAGTATGGCAACTTGAACCTATGTACATACGTACGGGTTCTACTTTGTGAATGACCGATCTTCTGACAGTTTAACTGGCTTATGGTTACCCTCTACCACTAATAAACCTTCATGGGACATCGACGGAAGTCCCTCAACTATTGATGAATTTGAGAAGCCTAAATGTAGTCTAAAACTGTGGATAACAAATTGTCCTTATGGATTGACGCAAAAGGTGATGAAAGAATGTGATGCAGTTCTAACTGTTAAACTGACAGAGATATTAACTAGAATGTGGAATATGAACGCAATCCCATCTAAGTGATCTCAATCGTTGATCGTTCCAGTTTCTAAGAAAGGAAAAAGAAGGGACATCAGCTCTATGAGACGTCACAATTCTTCTATATGATGACTCAGGAGGGATTTCAAATGTTCTAAGTGCTTTTTTTATGATTGTAGTTGTTTTAAGTAAACTTTAGGTGTATGACTGAAGAGTTCAAGCCGTTTTATTGTTACACTGCATTCTCCTTCTCAAATTTTTCTCAACCATTACTGCTGTCATTTTTGGTTCATCACTCTTTTCTTTTTTGACTTCCTGTCACTTCACGAATAGGAAGTAGCAAATTAAATCAATAGACATTTGCGCTAGATTGTATCTTATTTGTGTTCTCGTTCAAGAACTTTTTTTCCACTTAGTATGAATCAAGCTAGTAATGTATGTAGTCCAGTTCGATAAAACTGTGTATCATTTTCATTTTCACCTTTTTCTTAGTGATGAAGAAAGATGGTTTCGTAAGTCTCAACTCGAAAAAGGCGACTTTCGTGCTTGGTATTTCGTCCCAGTTAATCCAACTGGTATTAATCGTTCATTTGAAAGACTCATGAAAGATCAAGAGGCTGGCCAACTAGTTAGTCGTTGATTATAAAACTCACTTCAGACTAATACTTTGTATTATCTTTCATCTAAATGGAGTTTGTTTTAATCCTAGATTAAATGTTATGAAAAACTTCTGTTATTCATTAATAAAAAAATTAATGTATTTACATGTTTTTGACAATTAGTTCCTAATATCAAATTCAAACTGGATAACTAAACTTTGATTGAAACGGTTTATATTGTCACCGAAAATTCGGAGAATCATTTCGAGTTATAATAGTCCAACTAATCGTCAAAGTTTTGTCTTTCAGATATATATTAAAGCAGGATAATCTCATCTCCATAAAGACTTTTCAGTTGGTAATCATTTTAACACTAAAAAGATGGTAAATGCAGTTCAACCATCTTGGAGCCTGACACAGACTGGTTTTGGTTCTAGAAGAAATATGTATTTAAAAAGTAAAAAGTGTGTATATGCTACTGTGTTGTAGTGACTACATGATTTAGAGTAAATACTAAGACGAGCACGTCGATTATATTAACTATTGATAAGATATTTCTTTTTTATTGCGTAATGCATTATTTCGCATTGAATTTAAGTACACGCTTTCAGTTTATAAATATTTACCACCACTTGGTAATCAGTTCACAAGCAACTAATATTACATTTGTAGTAAAAACCGTCTCAATGTTTACTAGAATCTCTTGTATAAACCAAAGCTTTAGGATTTGTTAAATATATATGGTTTCTTCGTCAGCTAAGGAGTAGCAGTTCTATGTGTTATGAGTTGTTTCACTCCTGAAGACAACAGCCATCGTGATATTTTTAATTGTTTCTTGGTCTGATGGTCCTAATTTAGGAGTCTGAGGATTAAAGAGAGCAAGAACAAAGATTGGTGCAGAATAATATGAATTCATTTTATTTTGTTAGGTTCTCATCAACTGCGTACAACTTAAAATATTTGAAAATCAATGTTATTGCAGATATTGACATTCTTATACATACGAGGGTGATTCAAAATGAATATATGCATTATGGTGTAGCGAAGATTTCAATAGAGTTAATAAGGTCATGAAAATTCCTTGTTTCGGATAGGAAAAGTTTGAGACGGAAATTTCCAGAACATTGAAATAGTGATTAGAACTCATGGAGTTGACAAACATTAGATGATTGTGTAATGAAGCAACTGAAAGCAGATTAATGTTAATAAAGAAAGATATGAATTAAAGAAAAATGACAATGATGTAATTTAAAATTTTGAAATGGTGAATGACGTCATAAATAAAAAAGGGTTTAATGTTACCAGACAAAGAAAGATTTATTAGTCTCTTTTTGGATACATAGGTCTGGTTTTAGACATTTAATTGCTATCGCTTCGGCAAATTTCAAAAGATTGGAGTTTGATTGTTTGTTAATCACCTTGAAAGACTTTAGTGTATCGGCTTGATCTCCTGTGTCAAGGAGATGTCTTGCGATGGCACTGCTGAATGCTTCTAATCCATTTGATCTTAAACTTTCCGGAATATGTTCTTTGGATCAGACGTAGGCTCTCCTTTCTGTCCTACCAATGTAACTGCTGTGGCAGATGCATGTAAATTTGCATACACAGTTGGTGGTTACATGAAAGGGACACCTATCGACCTTTGATTGTGTTATTCGAATTGTTGGGTGGCTACCGAGTGAACAGTTGAATATAATATTGGGCTATATTTTATATTAAATTACACTAACCCCAGTTTCTTTTAATTGTATTGTAACTTGGCTACGACGCAATAAAAACTTTACCGCCTAAGAACTGTACTTTTATTTATTTATTAGGATTTCGTATCTCGGTAAATTTCATTAATTAGACATGCTGAATCAAGAGAAGTTTTTAATCATTCAACGTATTCGTATTATTTGATCTTAACTATTCTGTGTAGGTCTACCTGGTTAAAAAAAAAACTATTCCATTCATAAAACAAACATGGATATATTTTCGAATATTTAAGTAATTATCTCGAACATCTTGAAAAAAACCCCCACTCATATTTACATCCTTCTTATGTTCGCTTTGATATATGGAATGACTCACTGAATCTCTAGTAGTTTTTATGCTCATGAAATGTTAACTAATTTGTTTGTTATTTACTGTTGTGGACGTATCGTCATGATTTTCACTATATCAGAAGTTTATGCTTAACTTATCTGATTTAGAATAATAATGATAAAACTGGGTAAGATCAAATTTTTTATTCTTGTATTCTGTTATACGATATTTTTAAGTCATGGAACTTAAAAATCTTTTTCAATAAGATTTCAGAGTTATACAATTCTGGAAAGTACCACTTAAGACCTTTGGTTTAGATTGTTTTCAGTCTCTGTGTAAGTCCTATGGGGATTAATTTTTTTTTACAGTAGTGATGGGGTTACAGTTGTGAGAGGTAAACGTTCACATGTTATATTATTGGTAGATACTTTAAGAAGTATCATATGGTTAACAATTTTTTACCTCCATTTTTGCTATATGAAGCATCCACGAGCTGCAGATTATTATTTTTATTCAAAATAGATGTAACAAGATCTAAAGCAATTTTCTAACGTTTTTGCAAGCAGCTTCACCGACGTTTTCATTATTATTATTAATTAATTAAAAGAAACTAACCACTGAATTCCGTATGTTTACATACGATACAATCTTGATCGACAACCTTTATAGAACAAATAGGATCACTTCTAATTTACTGAATTTAAAAACAGTAAAGACTAAAAAACAGACTAAAGAAAATGAATTCACGAATCTTGTCTTTAGAGAGTAATTTGTTGAGGAACAAGTGTTTGTGTCTTTACATTACAGATACTTAACTGATTAATAATGACATATTTCGACGGAGTCTCGATCTTATTTCCAATAGGCACCATTTTTCTTAAATTCAGTACAGTATGTTTGAAATATAACAAACACTATACACTACTTAAGGATTGAAACCAGGAGAAAAACAGTTTGTCTTTCGTTAGTTTTTTCTCAAATCGTATCAGTTCATAGTTAACAAATATATTTACCTTACCCGAATGCCTGGAACATTGTTGTTAAGGAAAATATTCCATGATTTAGTTTTTAAAAAGCAGATCATATTTGTATCATAATTTAACACCAGTCTTTATCAATGAAAACCTCTAAACATATGGGTGTAGAACTCTCGCTTTCGGAACTGTGACCATATCAGAGAATAAATGTCAGTAGAAATAGACGAATTATTTGCAATTAGAAGTGACAACTGTTGCTTATTATGGATAAAATGTGCAGTGTGCAATTGTTTAGGTCCACACACTAGACACTCTGAGGTGACTTCAGTGCACTTACTTAGCAAACTGTTACTTTTCTCAATAATTTCTATGTCACTCATAGGTGACTTAAAGTTTGGTTAGGTTCTTGAGACTGCCGTCTTCACCAGCCGACATTTATCGAAGTTCAAAACTTCGTCGTGCATTCTAGTTTAGTTGGACATATGCCATAGAATCAGCTAACTTGGTTTGGAATTTCACTTTTGATTATGTAACTGCTCATGATTATTGTTGAAATGGTACGAATATTTCTGGTCACGTGAATGTGTTTTTATTTTTATAGAATCCCCATTGTCGGATTATTACAAAAGCCAACAGGGATTATTTCTTAAGATTAATCTGTTAGTAGTCCAAGGCAAAAAATGTAATTCCAGGTAACCGGATCTACTTGTGTAGTTGGTTCATAATCATGCGTTTACTGGTGTAGACGAGATCTTATTTTCACTTGAAATCTGGTATTTTTAGTGTCTTAAAACCCCATACAAATAGGGTTTTATTCTTTCTACATGTTTATTTCTACGTTTCTATTTGTTAGATTTCGGAAAACAATCAAAATTAAAAATGCTTAGATGATTAACTATCACCACTAGTTTATCTAGCATTGGAGTGGCGAAATCATGTTGTAAGTTAGCTGTCTGAAAATTTTAGCGGAACAATGTTTTATAGTTTTAAAATCTCAGATGCATTTTTTTATTATGGCAGCATACATGACTCGGAAACACAGTAGGTTCCACATGACAACAAAGGAAGAATCCAATAGTAGTTATTCTAAATGATATTTCTATGATAAGGTCCTCATGAAGTGTGGCTAAACGAAATACTTGGAAAAAATGGGATAGTTTATAATTTAGGAAGGAAGAATGTATTTGTAAAATTTCAGCGAATGAATTCGAGGTAAATCCAACGTTTCCACCACTGTTTTGTCTATATCCAGATTCTTGGAGTTGTTTTCAATCTCGTACAGGTGGGTACAGACTACCTGGTTGGGGTCCGCGTGATGATCGTAACCAATGGTTAGGGACTTTGAATGACGTGGCTCAAAATCGTTTGGAGTGGCGCAGGTGCATCCATTCTTTATCTTCCCTCGAATCCTGACATTCTGAATTCCCCAAATTTTTTTATTGCACTGATTTATATTTTCTTCTCTTATCGTATCTTTTATCCCGAATCGTTTTTATTAGCACTGATACTGATACTACCTCTACTATTCTGAGACTTGACCTGATCATTCCATCTCTCTGTGTTTATGGAGTATGGCAACTTGAACCTATGTACATACGTACGGGTTCTACTTTGTGAATGACCGATCTTCTGACAGTTTAACTGGCTTATGGTTACCCTCTACCACTAATAAACCTTCATGGGACATCGACGGAAGTCCCTCAACTATTGATGAATTTGAGAAGCCTAAATGTAGTCTAAAACTGTGGATAACAAATTGTCCTTATGGATTGACGCAAAAGGTGATGAAAGAATGTGATGCAGTTCTAACTGTTAAACTGACAGAGATATTAACTAGAATGTGGAATATGAACGCAATCCCATCTAAGTGATCTCAATCGTTGATCGTTCCAGTTTCTAAGAAAGGAAAAATACTATTGTATTTTTCACGAAGGTTTTAGTTTGACTAAAGTAAATATTAACCTCCATGACCATCGGACACCTATCTAGTGTCTGCGAAGAGTGAATGTGGGAAAACCAGGATTGTTTGAGACCTGGACGTTGTTGTATTAACCAAATATTCACCCTTCTTCAGGTTTTAAAAAAGTAAATATACTGACTTCGGAATATTGTTCCACTCTTTATCTTCCTCTCGATCTTGAATTCCAGTATTCATTCATACATTCTTTTTTTTTCTTGGTCTTTTAGAACTATAATTCCAAGATTTAGTCTTTGTTTTTATGATTACTATCATAGTATTTCCAACTCTTGTTTTCTGTTCATTTCGTCGTGTTAATATCATATTGTCAACTTACGTCAACGCACATCTGTCCCAGGTTTTATGTTGATGATTTTTGTCTGTCTAATTGAAAGTGTTTAATATAGATTTAGAACAATAAGGTTAATACATAACAAATACTTCAACTGAAAAGTTTTTCATTAAATTGATTTTATTTCTAAAAGCTATACAATCGTATTTATATCAGATAGACATATTTCTTCATCAACTATTTGTTTATGATATAATTATGAAACCAATGAAAATTTCATTTTACTTCATAAAAAGGAAAAGAATTTGAGTGACTACTTCAAAAACTCTTTTTTTTTAGGTTTTTCAAACAATCAACAATTATCATACACATAGTTTCCTTTATCATTTCGAAGAGAGTAAGAACAAAGATTCTAGCAGTATAGCATAAATTCATGTAAGTAATTTAAACTCATTATGTAATTATAATTTTAAATATCACAAATTATAAGCAGCTGACGAGAACCTACAAAGTAAAAATGAATTCATGCTATTCTACTAGAATCTTTGTTCTTACTCTCTCTAAAATCAACAAATAATCTTAAGATTTAACAATTAATAATGTAATCTTTTAACTTCATATTTCACATACTCTAAGATGTATGTAAATAAATGAAACACATTGGAGATAGAATGCTTTACTTGTAATAATTCACATTACTGTAGTACATTTTTCCTCAAAGACTACCAATTACTTTTACACATTTTAAAAATTACAAAAGCAATTATTTTTATTGATAACTAAAATCTTATTCATTTAAATAGTTGCATGTAATTACAAAACATATTAGAACATAATAGTCTTTAGAATAAACTTCCATTTTTTGAGAACGAAATTGAAGACATATTCGTAGTGATAGTAAATAAAGAATTCAAATCATAATAAATGGATTACAAGCATAAGTACTTACTTTAGATGGTAACCAATAAATTGTGATAGAAATATATTAAATACTGAGATAGTGGAGAAGATTTGTAGCTCAGGTGGATGATTTTGATGGAGTTTTGTTCTCTGAGCTGGATGGTTTGGTCGTGGAGCTTTCATCGTTCTTCTGAACGACATCATCAGCACAAAATTCAGATAGAAGTGAAGTGTTCGAATTTCTCCATATGCGTTTCACAGCGTGTTCTAACCTTAAGGTCAATAAGAACCAATCAACGTCGTGGTGTACAGAACACACTGTGAAACGCATATAGAGAAATTCGAACACTTCACTTCTATCTGAAGTTTGTGCTGATGATGTCGTTCAGAAGAACGATGAAAGCTCCACGACCAAACCATCCAGCTCAGAGAACAAAACTCCACCAAAATATATTAAATACAATAGACAATACAATTTTACGTTTTACATATATAGTATGAAAAAACATGGCATACATTTACACTTCAGTTTTATAAGGTTAATAACCTATCTTTATAGTAGTGTAAGATGAATAACTCCAGTACCATTCATAGTCGTTGTTTAAATAATGTAAAAAGTGTTTAGTGTCATTTCTCATAAAGAAATTGTGGATGGGTACTGCTGAGTATTTCGACAATAGGACAAAACGACCGTTCAGTGCTTCCAGGTTTTCCATGGTGGTCTAGCTTCAATTGACTAATGATCTCAACTACTAGAATTATTGTTTATTTAAGTTAAATAGAACTTATACAATACCATAGAGTATAAATGACAGGAATAATTTTTTTTTGTAAAATAAGTATACCAAAAAACTAAGTTACTGTACAATGAAAATTTAGTTTGAAATAATCAACTTACGCTGATTTTCATCTGATCTAAGCATTTCATGCAGTTGCTTCCCTTAACGAGTTTTATAATTCAAGCCAGAACAATAAGTGAGGTAGAATCATATGAATTCGTAATTTCACATCAGCCGCTTACAACTATATACGTGTTCAAATATAACATAGAATGAATCAATCAAAATTAATGACGGAAGGAATTCGAGTAACAAAGATTATAAGTTAAGACCTTATTAAATCTGTTCACAAGATGTTGTAAGGAATTCAAAAACACAGGATGGGAATGAGACAGTGATCAAATCAAATCCGGAAATAGATAAGATTGATTACATGTTAGTTAATGTAATTATATTTTTCATAATACACAATGCAAACAGCAATAGTAGTCGTAATAAACTACTGTATTTATCATTTATGTTATGCTTCAAATCATAGTAAAACTGAATGATGGAAAACTCTCTGAAAAAAAATTTAACCAATAATATGCTTTAATTTCAGTGTCCAATCACAAAAGATTAAGACTAAATTCCATTTGAATACTGAAATGTTTTCATTATCTAGTAATTGCTAAATGAATTATCCAATAATTTAGCTATCAAATGAGGAAATCTTAATCCATTTTTAAAATATAATAGATAAAATATCTTGATATATATCTTAGTATTCATTTGTCACATATGTCACTTAACAAATTATATTTCACTAAGAAAACAGAAAAAAAATGGACTTTCACTTTCAACAAACATTTACCTTGGATACTCAAAGTTCACTAACTTGAATGTATATGTATCTCAAATAAACGCTAATCAATCATATAAACGTAAAACAATATGTTAATAGTTCCAATATTGTTGTAAATATCAAAAATACTTAGTTTCTAATGTTGACGTGGTGTTTTACCCAAAAGTAATCAAATAATGAAAAAGATGTTTTTCTGCAAGAAGTTGAAAAATCAGTTACGCCCCAGTTTAGTCGTAATACAGTTGATTTTTAGTAGCTCTATATTTGACTACAGTTTGATAGTTTCTGTTTGTTATCGAAATATACATTTCACCAGTTCTCGCATATAATTATCGACTTAACTCGCTTTACTGAATAACGAAATTAAATAAGTCAAATACGAGAATGGAATTAGAATACTTATGTTTCATACAATAATTAATCGGAACAGACAGTCAGAGAATTACAGCGAAGGAAGCACAGAGGTGAAAGTGAAGCAAAACAAAAGGACGCACATTGGAGAAGGTGAGTTAGCCAATTCAATTTAACCAAGTGTGAATCAATATTTATAGTCAGAGAAAAATCAGTTACAGACATGTGATGTGTAAGATAAGCAATACATGCACACATGATTATATAAAAGATAGTCAGGATGAATAAGCAATAAATGACAAGGTCAAAATGTAACTCGAGAAGAATAGTTGAATTGGTTTGATCAGAAGCTCGAATAGGTTAAAATGGTTCAACATAATATCAGCCACTATAGATTAATTCAAATGATTTCACTAATGATTAATTTTATTAATTAATTTTAGAGATAAGCATTCAGTAAACTGGCATAAAAATTAATGTGATATAATCAATAATATGCGTAAATAATTGAAGATTAGATAGAAAAGTGCAATTTATCCGTATGGTATAATACTATACCATAAATGATTACATCATAAGATAATATTCAATAGTTCATATTTATTCATTCAATATATATATTAACACATTAATTACCCATTTTAAACTTTCCTCTGGATCTACTACTGTTTATTTTATCAATATATATTTTATACATTAGAACAAAGAATAAATAAACGAATTCCTACATAAATACACATGAAAATTCGATTATTATCAATTATAACAATCATTATACAATGCATTCCATCCATCTTATCAGCTACGTCAAATAATCAAAAAGAAAGTTCATCATCTTATTATTATGTGGTACGTTCACCAAAAATTGAAAAACGATCATATACAGAAGATGAAGCATTAACACATCAGAAAGAAAAAACAAAAATTGATACTGCTATTCAAACATATACAAAAACAACAAATACATCCACTTCACCTTTGTCTCCAGCATCATTATCAATAACATCGTCATCTTATGGTAATAATGTGAAAAAGAATAACGGTGCATACAATGTTAAACCTAATGTAACTATGAATGCAGAAAGTATATATCAAGATAAAAATTCATTAAAATATGTGAAAACTGTAAAAAAACGTCGAGAAATCAGTGAAGTTATTAAACATATACCAAAACCGACATATAATCAACAATCGAATAAATATACTGATCAGAATAAGAAAACTAATAATTATAATGATAAAAAGGAAACAAAGAATTACAATAATGTTAATAAGAAATACACATATTCTGATAGTAGTAGTAGTAGTAGTAAAAGTAATGACAACAATCATCACAATGATAAAAACTACAATAATAATAATTATAATTATAACGGTAATAATAACTACAACGGTAATGACAATTATAATAACAATCACAATAATTACAATGGTAATAATAACGATCGTTACAATAATGGCAATAACTACAATGGCAATGACAATTACAATAACAATGACAATAATTACAATCGTAATAATAACGATCATTACAATAATGGCAATAACTACAATGGCAATGACAATTACAATAACAATGACAATAATTACAATCGTAATAATAACGATCATTACAATAATGGCAATAACTACAATGGCAATGACAATTACAATAACAATGACAATAATTACAATCGTAATAATAACGATCATTACAATAATGGCAATAACTACAATGGCAATGACAATTACAATAACAATGACAATAATTACAATCGTAATAATAACGATCATTACAATAATGGCAATAACTACAATGGGAATGACAATTACAATAACAATGACAATAATTACAATCGTAATAAAAACAATTATTACAATGATGGCAATAACTACAACGGTAATGACAATTACAATAACAATCACAACAATTACAACGGTAATAATAACAATTATTACAATAATGGCAATAACTACAACAGTAATGGCATTGATGGTAACAATAACGACTACTATTCACATGATCACATCAAAAACACTGGCAGCTACAATAATGATGTAAAATATAATGCTGAAAATTACAATCGTGATTATACACGCAATGCTTATATATCTGACAATAATGACCGTAGGAATAATCGAAACTCCAATAGAAATTACATGATTAAAAATACCAAATTTAACAATTATGCCAACAGATATAATGGTAGGCGAAGAAATAATAAAAGATATAATAATAATAATAATAATAATAATAATAATAATAATAATAATAATTACAACAAAGCCCATAATAACCAAAGACGTTATAATGAAAATCGTAATATCGGAAATAATAACAATTACAATCGTAACGGTAATCAAAACTATCAGAATGGTTATCGTGCTTACAAGTACAACTACAATGGTAATAATAATAATAATAACCGGAATAATTTCAATGACAAATCTAATTACAATTACAATAATGATCGTAATAACCACAATAACAAACGGATTAATCACAATGTCAATTATAATATCAATAACAATGACGCTTACAATGGATATGATAATTACAAAACCAGCAATCATCCTGAACCTAATATACCCTATCAAAATAACAATAAATATAATAACATTGAAAATTATGTGAATAATGATAATAATAATAATAATTATCATGATATGTACAATACTAAAGATTATGAAACTAATAGAAATCCTGATAATTATGGTAGCAGTTATATTAGAAGTAAATTAGGTAAACCAGATTATTCTACTCCTGCAGAAAGAAGTAATGAACAAAATTATCCATCAATGACAAATACAGAGAATGAACAATCAAACAATCAAGAAAGTAATCAATATGGAAAAGAAAAAGAGAAAGATACAGATTTTGATCCATTAGGACAAGATGTTAATCCCATGTCCAGTTTAAATCCTTTTGGTGGTTTGTTCAGTTTAGGACAAATGGGAAATGGAGGGTCAGGTTTTTAAATTTTATGCTAACTAAATGATTAACAATTACTCAAATTCATGGATATATTGTAACAAAAATGTTTTATTTTTAAAATATCTTTCTTCAACTGATATCATATAAACAGTTAATAAAAAGCTTATTTATTAAGCTAGATTTTTCCAGTCAAAATGATTTAATATTTGTAATTGAATGTCATCTTTGTATGTTTATCATGTTTTTTTTTGTCTAAGATCTGAAATAGAAGTATGAACTGATTTGATGATTTGAACACTTTTCTCTTAATTCATTCATCATTGATTCATAATTATGAAAAAGAATTTTAAATGATGAATGATAAGAAACCACCCAAATTTATGTTTGGTCTTTTGAACGCTTATGAAGAATATACATATTACTTACTTACGCCTGTTACTCCTCGTGAACGAGCATAGGCCGTTCACCAGCATTCTCCATCCAATCCTGTCCTGGTCAGTCCTTTCTAGATCCTTCCAGTTGTTATTCATACTTTTCATATCTGCTTCTGTTTCCCGACGTAATGTGTTCTTTGACCTTCCTCTTTTCCGCTTTCCTTCAGGATTCCAAGTCAGGGCTTGCCTCGCGATGCAGTTTGATGATTTGCGTAATGTATGTCCTATCCATTTCCATCGTCTTTTCCTAATTTCCTCTTCAGCTGGAAGCTGGTTTGTTCTCTCCCACAGAAGACTGTTGCTGATGGTATCTGGCCAATGGATGTTGAGTATCTTGCGTAGACAACCATTTATAAATACTTGTACATTCTTGATGGTGGTTGTTGTAGTTTTCCAAGTTTCAGCTCCGTACAATGGAACTGCCTTGACGTTGGTATTGAAGATTGTGACTTGATATTGGTTGTATATTCAAACAATTCACTATACATATATAGCCGAAAAAATAATTACTACTTGAACATCTATGCCTGTTAACCCTCGTAGAACAACACACGTAGCCAAACAGCAAACTCTAACTTATCCTGTCCTGGGCATTTCTTTCTAGTCCCTTTCAAGTGCTATTCATCCTTTTGAGATCTGCCTCCGATTCCCAGTAGCATGCGTTTTTAGCCTTATTCTTTGAAGATTTCAAGTTGGGACTTGCCTCGTGATGAAGTGATTTCCGGTGATTTCCTCAATGTATTTTCTATCCACTTACATCGTCTTTTCATAATTTCCGATTCAACTGAAAGCTAATTTGTTCTCCACCACAGTAGGTTGTTGCTGATGGTATCCGACCAACAGATATTAAGTATGTTGCATAGACAACTGTTTGTAAGTACCTGTACTTTCTTGATGGTGGTTGTAGTAGCTCAGAAAGTTTTGCCCTAGTACAATAAAACTGTCTTGATGTTTGTATTGAAAATTGTGACTTTGATGTTGTCAGACAGTCGTTTTGAGTTCCATATGCTTTCCAACTGTGAGAATATTTTTCTTGTTTGGCTAATCCATCGCCTCACTTCTATATCGGACCCAACTAATTTATCAGTGATACTGCCCGGGTGCACAAATCTCCCTATCTCTTCCATAGATTTTTCATCAAGTCTGATTGTGCTGATGTTCTCTGCACCGTATTTCAGGATCTTAGTTTTTATCTTGTGTGTGTTCAAGCCTACTGATGCATAGGCTGCTACTACACTGACTATCTTCATCAGCAGTTTTTGGTGTATTTGGCATGGAGGAGCTAGGTGATGTGTGAAGTCCTAATCGTCTAGCTGCATTCATGCTGTCCATTGTATTCTATGCTTACCCTCAGATATCGAGGTCTTCATAATCCAGTCAATCATCAGGAGAAATAGAAAGGGTGAGTGTAAGCAGCCTTGTCTGACTCCGGTCGTCACTTGGAATGCATCTGTCAGCTGTCCTCCATTTACGACTTTGCAGTGTAGTCCGTCATATCAATTCCTGATGATTATGACAGCCTTCTCATGTATACCATAGTGTCGGAGAAGGTCCCATAATGTTCTCTTATTTACGCTGTCAAACGCCTTCTCTGATTGTCGAGGAAGTTGATATGCAGTGACGGATTCCACTCAGTTGATTGCATAACAATGATCTGCAGTATCACGATTTGGTCTATGAACGACCGATCCTTACGGAATCCAAGCTGTTGATTTTGAAGTTGTGTGTCTACTGAATTTTTCATTCGGTCCAGCAACACTTAGTTGAAAACATTTCCTCGTACTGACAGTAATGTGATGCCTCTATAGTTTTCAAGTGTGAGAACTATAGTTCTCACACTTGCTGAGATCTTCTTTCTTTGGTGTCTTGATGAGTTATCCTTCTTTCTAATCTGTTGGTAATTGTTCTTCCTCTCAAACCTCCTGAATAGAACATGGAGCATGTCTGTAGTTTCTTCTGTACCTGACTTCATTGGTTCAGCTTGTATGTTGTCAAGTTGTTCTGCTTTCCCACACCTGACTTGTCTGATGGCCATCCTGATTTCTTCGATCGTTGGTGGAATGACATCTATAAAAAAGTTTGTGTATACTGCATCAATGTCCGGTGGGTTCAGTTTGGTCAGTCTATTCAAGAGTTCTCCAGTGCTCCACCCACCTGTTCCTCTGTTCTTGAGTGTCAGTGATTGGCTTTCCCTTTTTATTCTTAGCCGGCCTCTTTTGTTTACTGTATTTCCCATCTAGTTTATTCATTGTGTCATATAGTTGTTTGATATTTCCTCAACGTGCAGCTTTTCCCACTATCGTTGCTAGGTCCTCTATGTATTTCCGCTTGTCGGTTCCAATTCTCCTCTTCGCCTGCTTGTTTGTTTCTGTGTATTCGGTTTGTGCCTTAGTTCTCCCTGCTATTGTTTGGCTGTTGTCCGTTGCTGTCTTCTTGTTCTTCCTTCTTTCAATCTTGTCCAGGGTTTCGATGGAGATCCATTCCTTATGGTAGTGCTTGTCGAGGCGCAGAACCTTTTGTTACTTTGAAGTGATTGCTTCTTTGATCCTCTTTAAGTCAGTCTCCATAGTGACTTGCTTTTCTTTTTGAGTAGATCATTTAACGCTTGGAACCTCTTGTTGAGTTATATCTTGTATTCGTTGAATTTGTCAGTATCTGTAAGAAAGTTTTTATTAAACGTCAAGTTATCTAGTGTATCTTTAACTCCAGTCTCATCATTGGAAATAAAACTGGTCATTTTAGTCTATATCAATATATTAGGTTCCAGGAAGGAATTCCCAGTAAAAGGCATAGGTTATTTTACAAATTCGTTTTTTAAAAAATTTCACCTTTATGTTTGATCTATTAACACTAATTTGATTGTCTCTCATTTCTTCAAAGTATAGACAAGTAGTATATCGAGGATTACAGCAGTTTCAACGGAGTTCTTAGGTATTTAGTAAGCTTTCTTTGGAAATTTGATGAATTGATTATGCGATTAATATACAGATTTGTGGTTAGTGAAAGCACGATTTAGAAAACAGAAAGTTCAGAGCAAGAATCTCTTTTCAACGAATTTCTTATCAAGCTGTACACTCGTACATATATATGGAAGTTTCGTTAAAGTATTAGTTCCGTGAAGACATATGAACATGGAATAAACCTGACATAATAGAAAGATTATAATATCACATTACCTAATATGAATAATAACAATAAGAGATTGTGTGTGCAAATAATAAGTTAGCAGAGGATTATAACGTAAATGAAGTTAGATGATCAAAATGTTTTTGTTACGATAATCAGAGGTAATAGAGGGGCCAAGTGAAATTAAGTGATATCAGAAACAGCTATGTATAAAATCATGAGGATATGAAACATAATTAGATAGAGGGGGATAGTTTCAAATATGAAATATAGTAGTAATAATAATATTTTAAGGCCAAGGTAACTATAAGGATAACTCGTAACTCTTTTGTGCACACAGTTTTGGCTTCAAATCACGGATGGCTAGAGCTTCTGATGTTTCAAGGAGTTGGGTACTAAGAAATCTAGGTAGATTTGGACGAATTGTATGCACAGACTTAAAATCAAACTGTGCATCAGTTGAGTAATTCGAGGCCTGTTTGAATATCTGGGCTACCTGTTCCTGACATCTGGATATTTCAACAAGTTATCTGTCTTTTGTTTGTTTCAACAGATCATTATCTCAATTAATTGCATAACCTATTCAGTTAGGAAAGAGCACAACCAGATACATTATGGTTTTTGGCAATATGTATCGAAAAGAATGTGCACTATTCAAATGTCAATTCCTGAACTGCTAACATCTAAATGGTGACCACTCAAAATTTATCGTCAGGATCAGTCAAGAAATAAGAAACGGAAACTTATTGAAATACTTTGCTCTGAGAATTCTATATTGTATCAAAAATATAATATTGAATAAAGCTAATAATAATACAATAGGAATAGAGTCGATTATGTGTTCAAGAATGGAACTTCCAACTGCTTTCTTCTCACTCTTGTAGAACCACACTCGAACACGTTCTCGCACCGCAGTTGAAAGCAAGTGCTGGTTACGGCGTATTCACCTTACTCAACAACAGCAGGTGAACTGGTAGGTTCATAGAAATCTTTATATAGAAAACAGACCTGGAATGATCATTATACGAATTTCCATAGCTGGGTCCCATTAAGTAGAAAGAGAAACTTAATTCACTCATTATTCTCATGGATTAAGCGAATATGTTCTAATGATACAATAGATGACGAACCACTTCAACTCCGACAAATATTCATCAGAAATGGTTATTCATCTAGATTTGTCGACAGGAACTTAATAACAAGACGAAATCCTGAAAAGCACCAAAAACTCAAAGGAAAACTTTTTGTGAATGTTGAATTTAAGGGAGATACGGCTGCCGAACTCTTAGAAAAACGGATTTCAAAATCCTTGAATGAAACATCCTATTCAGCCAAGCTCTGTATTGTCTTCTCAAGCCGGCCTACCATTCACGGATGTGCCAATGACAAACTTCCGCTTTGTGCCACATCAATGTGCATCTTTGATTTCTCCTATGGGGAAGGTTACATTGGCCTCAAAAAACGATTACTTTCCAAATGCATATCAGAGCCTTACATGATGCATCCTTTAAAAGGAGAATGCAAAACAACTACCAGTTTGATGCAGAAACACTTAATCATATTTGGACACGTTGCTCTAGAAGAGTCTTTCTTTAAAATAATCCACACAATAAAAGGGACTGGATCAAAGGTAGGCGGAATCAAAAGCTTATCCACTGTTGAGGCGTTGGTGATCCACCAATTCAAACCCGAACTCTGCGTGCAAAAACAATACATCCAAACTCCCATTCTTCTTTGGCCCTGATTTTCTTCTGCAGTATGTTTTGGTCTTGTTCTTTCTTAAATCATTCCTTTTTTAAGTATTGTTTTCTTAATTTTAAACCGTAATCAGTTATTATTGAGACATCTATGATCATTTTTTATTTATATCTATCAAGCGAACAATTCTTTCATAATTCTGACCCGTAAATTATTTCCATACTTCTATTTTTCTCTAACCCTCTGATTACCGCACAACCTCATTTGATATTTGGAGTCTTGAATCACTTTATGATGCAATCTTTTCTTCCTACAGACATATATTTACCAAACAACTATAAATACGAATTTACATCTTAAGGAAATGGTTGCCTCGAAAATAAGATTTTCTCTGCTGAATTCTCTTTTAGATTGATATCATGAATGGATCAATATTAGACCGCCATTGAAAACCTAGAAGCACTGGATGGCCGTTTCGTCCTAGTATGGGACTCCGCAGTAGTGCACACCCACGATCCCATATGCGGGTTATGTGGTCACGACTTCTCTCTAAAAATTCAGAGAATCCATTTTGAGCTAGTCACTAGTGGGCACATGATAATTATCAGTATAGGGTTGTGTAGATTTTTGAGTTTAGATTGATATCATGAATGGATCAAAGTTAGACTATTGACCAGCCGAGTTCAACCGTGTCTGTTGTGAAGCAGTTCTCACTGAAGATAATGGTGGACGGTCGCGCAATACCGTGGATTGGTTAAAGTTAGACATTAACACCGTCGGATGCCGGCTCAGTGGTCTAAAGGTTCTGGGTTCGGGAACAGCGTGCGGGATCGTGGATGCGCCCTGCTGAGGAGCCCCATACTAGTATGAATTCTCCTTATTTTTATTTAGTGACACAGTGGGTTCTTTCGATTATCTGAGATTGTTTTCCTAATAAATTTTTTATCAAAAAATAGAATACACAGAAAACTAGTTGGACATAATCAATATGAGAAGTAATATAACCATGTGACCTAAGTATAAAGAAGTTGCGTGTAATCACTAAACTACAGTGAAATGAATTATGTACATTAAGTATTATTTTTATGCAAATAGACCATTCAGTTAGATATTTCCAAGAAGTTATGCCTATATTAGACTATGTCAGCTATATTTGCCATTAAATGGTGTTGATAATAGTACCAACAAGTTTTTAAAATGAAGGGGCTTTATTCTACTGTCGAAATCATTCAATTTTAACAAATTTATTCTATGAAGATTCTCAATGAAATGTTAGTATTATCAAAATGAACCGTTATTTAGGAGTTTCTAAATCATATATATTGAGAACTCCAATTCGATGGGACAACATATACAGTGAAAGTCACAGTGAAACTGCAATGCACTAAATCCATTACTCGTATTGTCTAGCCTGTAATCCAGTTCTCTATATTTGTTCGTGAATTGTGTATCTGATGTAACGTTTGTGTATAGCTTACTGATTGAGCAACCAACACATGTAGTAGTATAAATCTCGGTCTCCGTCGTATTACCCTATCATAGTAGTATACAGTAGCAGTAGTAGTTGTATCACATACAAAAGTGATTGCTTAGAATAGGTCTTTAGTAGAAAACGTAACTGAAATATTTGCGCATTTGAAGAAAATATAAGTGACTCAATTTTGATCAGGCCACCACATAACCAGAGAGATGTGAGCAGTTAGCGGTAAACACTCCTTATTTTATTCTTCAATGTACACGGCCAAGTTATATTACGGTGACGCTAACAGATCAAATAAATAACTTTGAATAGTCAATTATTATATGTAGTAAACCATATGGGACATAATATATGATTAGTAAGTGATGAGTTTAACTGTTTTTCAGTGGTAACATGTCAACTATACGATTGATATATTCTGGTAAAAATGAATGTATTAACTTATAATATTCGAGTTCAAATAAAACGGTTGTTCAATTGACTTATGATGGTTTAACTATCATAGCATCAACATTTAAAGCGATAGGTACTAGGTTAAAGTCTTAGTGTGAGTATCAACACTGAGATACAGTTAATTTCAGATAAATAGTCCTAAACTTAATGAAACTTGTGTTTTGGATTCTATGGTTAATTAAAAACCAAATTCAACAAAAGATATGACCGAATTTCTAAACATCTATTTTTCATTAAATTCGAAATTTCAACTCGGAGTATTCCAGTTGCTAAATTATTACTTTAGTACATGAAACCTTTTAGAATGAACTTCGCCGTCAAATATAGAAATGAACGGCATTATTTTTTAGTCGTTAGAATACTGATCGGGTGAGTAGCTCAATCTACAGATGGATATAACCTGGGTGAATTATGATAAGTTAATAACTGAAATTCTACTTAATAAGGATGTCTTGATATCGAATTTGTTTTAAAATATATAATCACTTGACTACAAACTCATGTTGAATCATAGCATAACATTACGTCCTAGTATCTATTTTATTGTATTGCAAGTTCGCATCCTTACAATCAGAATCGACTCACCGTCCGAGTTTAATATTCGCATTAAATTATTCATATATTTTTCTAATTAAACGGTACTTTGCAAATGGAACACGGTTTATTTCCAGATTTTTTTGAGGTTCAAATAGATAACCTAACCATTTTTTTCTACTTCGTAATGAAATGAGTTTGAATAAACAACGACAAGGTAGTTGGACATTTTAGGCTTATGTGTTTCATGTATTATGGAACTAAAAGATTTGTGGGCTAGGAACATACTTACAAAGACATAACACTCATTTCCCAGATTTTTTTACTTTGATAGTACCAAAACTACACTGAGATTAAGTAGGTATCTAATTATCTCGGATTAATTGAATTAAATCATTGTCTTCCCAATTTGATGAAAACAAGCGATTACTTTATCAATCATACTAAATTTCATTATTTTTATTTGCATTCCTAGCTACTTAATATTACGTAAGTAGCAAAACTAAAATTAGGAATAGTGTCACTTTAAATAGTTCAGCTTTCATAAGAATTAAATTTATTTACTGTCTTTTAAAAGGGATTTGAAAGCATATTCATTTGAATATGACTACATATGCATTTGTGGATTCAAAGTGCAGCATATCAGATTACATAAGTTTTATTGGTCAATAGAAAATATAAACAAATGTAATCGAAATATGGCAAAACAGAAAAAGTCAATTGGGAGCACATTTAATGCACTCTATGTTAACCATTTTATGCCCAGAAACCACCTCTCTTATAACCCTTACAGGATTAAAAATGAATGTTATAACTAATTATCATAAGCGATACTAGAGTTGCCAATGAAATTATCAATACTCGGTGATTTTCGCAATCGAGGCACAAAGTTTAACTAGTCATCTAGTGAATCTTCGATTAGACTGATGACTAAACGAAACTAATATAAAAAACTAGATTAGCACAGGTCTTCTGTTTTTTGGAAAGTGTAGGTCAGCTATATTCTGTAAGTTATCAACACAGAATGTCATTTGTTCAGTATTGAATACAGCTATGGTTACACGCACAAGATTAATTATTTCAGACTAACAAGTTCAGGGTTTGCTTCCTGCTCACAGAACTGATAAACAACCAAAGTAAATTTCGAGTCACTATTATAGTATGTTTAGTATTTTTCACCCGGATAGGTGCTTACGATGGTTTTGTATTCTATTTGAGTTAGGATTTGTCCGGAACAACAATGGAAACTTCGCATTTAAGCCACTGACAAATTTTTTCATTCATTTTCATTAGATCAGAAGATGGGACATGTTGGTTGATAGCATTGTATTCCCATGGAGAAAAGAGAAGATATCAGTGTATATTTTAAAGAATTTCATAGCCTTTCTTAGTGTGTGTGTTCAGCTGATCTCAGCTCGTATTGATTAATGTATGTATTTCCATGTATGCAGTTTAAATTCTTACGAGAGATTTATCAAAAACAATTATAAGTTCTGGTAGAACGCTTGATTTAAAATATTTTTCTCATTCTAAGGTATATTAAGATAATACGTTAACATGATAATGAGGCTATTCACATCATGTCAGATCCAGGATTTCCAACCCAGAATAGAGAATCGAAATAACACTAGATAATACTTTATTCAATACAACTACCAGCAGTCACACTCAATAAGTCAATAACAAGAAAAGGAATCACATATTTACTAATTAGTAGGTTAATTTGACTGTTTGTCTACACTCATTGATCACCCTCAATATTACACATCAGGTTCCTGTTCAAAATTCAGCATACTATGATAATAACCATTGGTCAGTGAATATATTTTATAAGAAAAATCATCAATATCACTACTTTATTTTACGTGGACGAAGAATAATATAACTTGAAGATTGACGACTTTTAATTATCTGTTTATTGTATAGAAATTCTTCATTTGATTGAATATCAACATGCTTTGACACATACGGATTGTTATTATTATTATTATTATTATTATTATTATTATTATTATTAGCAGCAGCAGCAGCAGCAGCAGCAGCAGCAGCAGCAGCAGCAGCAGCAGCAGCTATTTCATCTTGTTCTTTATGAGAATATCTATATAACAATAGATCACTATTATTTACTTGTTTCTGATTCATTCTAGATGAAATATCATATTTTTGATGATTTAGTTCATTCAACTTTTCATTTGATAATAAAGTTTCTGTTTGTTTATTCTTCATAGATAAATCAACAGAATAATCATTAATCTTATTCTCATTTGAATTGATAAACTTATTTATATCAAATTGACTTTTATCATTATCAATGTTATGATTATGATTATTATTATTATCATTAACATTAGATAAAGGTAAAACATGATCATATTTTTTATGTTCTGTAGTAATTTCAGTAAATTCTTTTATATGTTTCATTGTTTCACTTTCAATAGTTTTAAATTTATCAATTCCAGGAATAATTAAATAATTCATTTTTGAATATGATCGTTGATAAGATGGAAAATAATGATTTAATGAATAATCATAATTACTTAATTTTGATTCAAATAATTGGAATAATAATAATCATAATAATAATAATAAGGTTTTTGATAATTCCTATAATAATAATATGGTAAAAGCTTTTTAGATGTTGTAGTGTAAACTTTTCCTTGTACTGAATAATAAATCTTAATTAGATAGTAGAAAATCAATAAGCTTATAGAATACATAATGTCCATTTAAACAAAATATAGTACAGTAATATAAATGAGCATATTTTATTGAATAAATACTTGATTTCTTTCTTTTTATATAGTTATAATGATTATTATTTGATTTTGATGGATCAAAAATCAAAATCGTTAAATTATTGTCATGCACTTTATATTTATTAAGTTTGAAATCTTTCTTCTTTTTTTTTCATTGACAAACACTTTTTTCTATCACTCTCTCTTCAAATCTCATAGAAATCGACAAATATCATGAAATTTATTGAGTTTTTAATGTTTTGTCAGCTGAACAATTAATAAAATTGATAGTGCTTAGCAGTGGAATCCAGGACGCGCGTTTCGTCCTATTTAGGACTCATCAGTTGGATGTTACTTTAATTATAAGTTTCCTGCAGAAATATTTTATATCAGTTAGGTTCTTTCCATGGATAAAATGTTAACACCAACTGTATGATTATGAGTTAATTGACAATGTGTATGAACTTTGGGGGTTCTTATCAAAATAATAATGACTGAATGAAAATGTAACTCAAGAATTTAGATGAATATGCCAGTTATAAAGTTCAAAGTTCTATCAAATAAACCGAAGCAAATTATCAGTTGACTATCGAATAATTGACCGAAGGTGGACAGATTATTGGAACAAGTTGTGTAACATAAAATAATAAATGTTATAAGGAATGAAAGCATTAGTCAACCGGGCAATTAATAACACTGATCATGAAAGTATGAGAGGAAGAATAAGAAAAAATGTTAAAAACAAAAGTACCTTTTTGGAATGGGTCATTCGACTGATTAAATAAACAGCGTAAAGAAAGTAATCGTATCAACATCATACGGATATATGGGCAAAGTTTGTCTATATAAATGGATTTGGCTTATATAATATATAGAATTCAAAATACCGATGGACTGGGACATGTTAGATGGATTTCAATGGGTACATCTTACGGCTAACATTACATCAACAATATGTCCAATATTTTGTGACTGGCGGTGTCCGAAATCTCATACTGATACACGGTGTTATAAGTGCTAACACCCCAACTTACTATTGGAGCGAGAACATAAGAGTAAACGAGAAAGTTTATTGGGCTACCGAATGAAATGTACAAATACTCATTATATATATATATACCACTTTATCCTTAGGAAATTGCCCCCAATGAAATGCGCTTAACCTTTAGGTCAATTTTGGTTGCCATCGACTGACCTTTGGTTATTCCTGATTGATTCTCCATAGCACAATGTTACTAGGTGCTTCAGAATGAAGCTTCTTATCTATTCATTACTGTAGCATGAAGTGTAACGTCTAAACGTGGGAAATTTCTTGTTTGAATCAGATTTTATGCTCATCAGCTGTCATCAACAATGGATCTCTTCAACTATAGAAAATCTGGTTCTAAATGTGTAACAGTATGAACACTAACCATCATCGTGCCTGCACTTCGATACTGAGGGAGCTCTATGGATCAACTTCGATAGGTCTTCATCAAGATATTCATTTGAATATCTCAGTGCATTGTATACAATATCATCTGGCCAAAAGGCTATCTTCAAGAAGTCATGACTGATCAAGATAAACTCATACAGTTTGCCATTTAATAATCCACTGCCTTATCTAGTTTTACCGCAGGTCATTTGTCAAGCAATGTTTAGAGTTACTAGGTGCTAAGTCATATTTAGGTGTATTTCACTTAGCTGAAAGATGTAGATAATCTTATCAAGTTAATGGCGATGATTGTGAAGCTTGACTCTAAATATTCTTACCGATTACATTCAGTAAATTCATTCTAAATAGGTCTTCATGTAATATCGGTCAAAATATCTTGTTAGTAACATTTCTATTGGAATTCATCCTACTTAATTATAACAAGATGAAAAGCCTATGGCACTGAAAATATACTCGGGAAAAGTTGTAAAAACTATTTCATATCATTTCTTTAAACAAAGAAGATAGACATTCGAAAATTGTGATTACATTATGAAAGTTAGTATAATCTCTTAATAATGATGTTATCATTACATAGGATTGTTTTCAAATAATTTGATTGGTTGATATTAATGTTTTTTTGATTTTAGTAAAAACTCTTGAAGCAGTTCTCAAACATTTCATTACTACTGTCATTTCACTCTTTATTCACATGATAATTCAGTTTCTTTGTTTTATGAACTTCGTAAATATTTTTATATTGCTGTAAATTTTGCAGACGTCTCCTATTGCTCAATGAATCCGTTCTCCGATCATTATTATTATTATTATTATTATTATTATTATTATTATTATTAATATTATTCTTCTGGTAATTTTCTTTCTGATGATTATTTTGTACTTTATCGCTATAGTATTTATTCTCTATTTTATTAGATTTTATGTTTTCCCTAAACAATTTGTCCATATCAACATCATAATTCTTCAAATCAAACTTTGCATTGGAATTTCGATCAGTATCTTCAGCATATTTATTAAATAGCTCACTTAAATCGGTGTTACTGTAATCTCTTGCGACAAAAACATCATTATTTAAAACTTCTTTGTTATTGAAACTGCCTGGTCTATCATTTTCAGTATATTTCGTAATACTATTTTTAGGTATGTGTTTAAACACTTGACTAGTTCCACTTTGTTTTTGAATCGCTTTTTCATATTTCATTGTCTCTTCGTCTATGTAACCGGATTCCGCATAATCTTGGTCTTTTTCCCTAACATCGGAATGGTCATTATTATTTTCATAATCATTGTTGCTGTTAAAATAATTAAGATCTGGTCTCCTGAAGGGGTCTTCATAATCTCCGTTATCTATTGAATGTTTTCCAGAAACATCATCATCTTTGTCACTGTTGAATGTCGTTCTCTGTTTTAGCTGAGTTACATATTCGGACTTTTTGTCAATCTGTGTCTTGAATTTCGGTGAAACAACTGTGACATAATCATGATTTTGCCCATTGTTTGATTTATGAGACCGTGAGGAACAGTAAGGAAACATAGAGAAACCTAGTATCATCATCTGTAAAACATTTAAAACCCAATCCATTCTTGTTAATTTTATATCTTTCACTGATATCTATTTACATATTTACATATATATATTCACTGTGATTGTAACTATCAAATCAAATTATTCTCTTATCAAATATTGAAATATATTACAACCTCGTAAACATTTCTATACTATGCGATGAACTATTGATCGTTATTCAACTGTTCAATATTCTGAATAACATATCATGATGTTTGAAGCCTATACCAAATATACTAATTACATTTTTATTAAATTTGAATATTTTTTTGTTTAAATGAGTTCTTGTATGCTTTTCAAATTGAAATATGTTGACAAACCAATTATATTTATTGTTTTATATATAAGTCAATTTAATAACCAAAACTTTTAGTCGCTTTAATTCAACTCAATTCGGAGTAAGTCAATAAGACTCGGTTGAACTGATGATATGATGAGTATATTTATTTGACTATCTAATAAGTTATATGACAGCCAAATAAAACAACTGATAATTTAATTGAATTTCAGAACTGGTCATCTGTTGAGTTAAGGCATTTGTTTAGAGATAACTATTTTGAATGATCATATGAATCAGATTTTTACGTAACTTACGTCGTCAACCGATAAATTTCTTCGTCTATACAATGAAGATTACTAGGTTGATAAATCCATTTTAACTATCGTCAGTTAGAAAACGAAATGCAATTCTTCAAATATTTAGGTAGTCATACGTTAAGTTAAAGTTATTTTCTGTCATATGTTGAATCCACAAGACCATTACAAATTTATGACTGCTTTAATCGTTAAAAATCCTGAAATAAAAGACAGCTCAAATAGATGAAACTATTGCGGAAAATGAGTAAAATGCACTGAATTTAAAAACCTTGAATTGTATGGTACTTAGAACACAAGAACCAAATTGAAATTATAAGTAGATCTATCGAGTAACCAAATAAGAAAGGAATCATAGTATTTTTAAGTAAGAAAGCCCTTTATCGTTACATGAAGAAGAGATATTAGAGGTTAACGAAAACGAACAAGGTGTTAAGTTTTTAAAATGGCAAATTCGCTCATAATAAACAAAAAAGATATTAAACAAAGTAAAATGGGTCAAATTTAATTGGAACTGTGCAAGGGACCTCAAAATAGGTCTTTAAACTATTAATAATAAGATTAAAAGTTTTACAAATGCGGTGCAGAAATGATTGCGTGTACTCAAACTACTTTTAATTAGTAAGTAGTATGATACATCACCCATAAAATCCAGCACGATTGAATAAACAAGAATAATTAGAAAACCACTCAAGCACAATTTCGCCAGTAACACTTTTAGGGTTACAGCCAACCCCTAGCTCAAATAAAGAAAGAGCAAAGGGTATAGGCTCGGCAACCTGATCCCGTAAGAATGACGCTGTCGAAAAACGTTAACCAGAAAAAATAACATAAATCATTGAAATTCTACCTTGGGAGTTGAAGGATTTTCAACTAGACAAATTAAGGGCGCATCATAGAGGAATCCGAGATAATTCGGAAACATCAAGGAGAATGAATCTAATGGCGATAAAAAAACAATATAGGTACGTGACTTTGATGTTTACAGACAGTTGTTTTGAGCTCTGCATATACTTTAGCTTTAAGAAATGCGGCCCTTACTTTCCCAATACTTACATTTACGTCTGCATCAGACCCTCCTTCTTCATCGATGAAGTTACCGAGGTATGTGAGTTTCCACCTCTTCCACAGTTTCTCCATCAAATGTGATTGTGTTGGTGTTCTCCGTGTTGTGTTTCAGGATCTTGCTATTGACCTTGTTGTGTTGAGGCCTAATGGTGCAGACGCTGCTACTACACTGGTTATCTTGACCTGCATTTTTAGTGTATTATTATTATTAATGGCTTTATTCAATATTATATTTTGGTACAATATAGAATTCTCAGCTAACTAGGTCATCTGTGAATTTCAAATCGTCTAGTTGCGTCCATGCTGTCCATTGTATTCCCCTACCCTCAGATATCGAGGTCTTCACAATCCAATCAACCACAAGGAGAAATAGAAAGGATGAGAGTAAGCAGCCTTGTCTGTCTCCGGTCCTTACTTGGAATGTGTTTGTCAGTTGTCCTCCATTTAAGACTCTACACTGTAGTCCGTCGTATGAATTCCTGATGATGTTTACCATTTTTTCAGCTACCCACGACTTGGTCGGTGAGCGACCTATCCTTAACGAATCCAACCTGTTAATCTCGGAATCGTGTGTCTACTGAATCTTTCATCCGGTTCAACAACACTGTTGAAAACATTTCCTGACACCTTTAGTAACGTGGTGCCTCTATAGTTCTCACATTTGCTGATATTTTACTTCTTTGTTATGTTGATGAGGTATCCATCTTTTTATTCTGTCAGCACTTGTCCCTCTTCCCAAATCTTCCTGAATAAAACGTGGAGCATTTTTGCAGCTACATCTATACCTGAATTCAGTGCTTCAGCTGGTATATTGTCAGATCTTGTTGCTTTCCCACACCTGGTTTATCTGATGGCCATCCTTATTTCTTCGATCTTTGGTGGAGTGGCGTTTATAGGACGGTTTATGTGTGTTGTATTGATATCTATTCAAGAATACTCCAAAGTGTTCCACCAACCTGTTCTTCTGTTCTTGAATATCAGTGATTGTCTTACCTTCTTGGTCCTTGACTGGTCTCTCTGGTGTACTATATTTCCCATCCCGTATGATCAGTCACCCATACCGCGCCAAAATCCAGTCACCTCTAAAATATAAAACATCGGCGAAATGTGTAACCTGCTTGGAAAACCGCCAATGAAGCTATCTAAGAATGTCACTAATAAGGCATCAGTAGGAGTGCTGAAAGTTGTTGGCTAATTACAGTGTGAATTTTTCTTCAATGGAGTTAACTGTAAAGGAATATACTATCTAACAAAACGGTCAAACCTTGATCTTCTTGGTCTAGATATACTGAAAAAAATTGGAATAATGGATATACCCAATAACAGTGTCTGCAACGTGTCATGTTAATGATTGGACACTCCGATACTTGCAAAAATGACAGGTGGTGTTAAAAGATCCCGTAAAATGCTCTACGGCCGAAATTTATTGACAGATCACAAACTTTAAATTGTGATTTTGGTTCTAGGAAAGGAATCCCTGTTCATACGGCTAACATATTACAGCACCGGGTAACGATGCATCTGAGCTGTGACTTCAACATCAAGTATCAGTAAACAAATATTATAGGTCAAGCCGACGCTTTTTCTCCCGATTGATATGAGTCCAACACCCTGGACCGGAGGACATGATCATTGCCTCCACGGTAGTAGATCCAGAAATAAGGTGTGTAGTAGCAGATTCCAATTGAAACACTCCAGTGTCATTAGATAAAGTCAGAGAAGAAACTCTTTGAAACCGAATCCTATAATAAGTCGAAAAGTTCCACTTAGAAGGGTGGCCCTCGAAGATCAGCTTCACGGAGCTTCAACATTCTTACGAATACAGACTATCACTCTCAATAATCGATGACTGCCTTCTGTTTGCCGAACGTATCATAATCCTAACCAGCAGATCTTGAACATTTTCACACAAGACATCACGTAAAAGCAGCTAACCCCTTAATGTACCAAATACTCATTAACAGCGAAAGTACCGCGGAAAGTAGAGCTCCAATCATGGCCAATACCACAGTCACCATGGTAGCGTATACGCTTGGACTTTACTGATCCAATTCATGGACCAAGATACCTTTTGGTAGTTAATGCAAACGGCAAGTGGCCAGAAATTTTCTTCATGAAATATTCAGTTGCAAGCTGCATATTCAGAAAACTACTTCAACTATTTGGTCGTTTAGGGGTTCCAGAATTATTAGTTACTGAAAATGGAACACATTCCACGTCTGATATCCTCTCAGAATTTTGTCGGCAGAACGGAATCAATCATGTCCGAACATCTCCATCCCTTTCCAGATCTAATGACCAAGTAATACTGTTTGTTGGTACATTTAAAAATGCTCTGTGAAAAACCAAAAGGAGAGAGAACCGCCGAAGAGATTGTAGAGAGATTCCTGCTTATCTATTGTTCTACAACTAATCCTCAGACAATTAACTGGGTCTGTCCAGCAGAAGCATTACTTGGAAAAAAATAATAACAAATTTCGATGCCATTCGTCCTACGCAAGCTCTTGAGCCTCGACGTAACATCGATGGAGAAGTAATTCAATCAACATCATGAAGGTCAAAGACGATTGTTCACGATGGGTCAAAAACACTTATTATGAACTATCGTGGAAAACATCCTACATGAATATCTGGCTGAATCGTGCAAAAGAGCGGTAGTGTGGTTTACAAGTTGTCAGTTGACTCAGAAGTTTGGGCGCGTCACGCCAACCAACTGAAAACAATTTTGATCACCAGAAACGAGACCCGACATGGAATACATATTAATATTCTTCTGAACACATTTGAAATCAAATCCCTTGGGACAGACAGATCAGTCTCTGTGCAGGCAAAGAGTTACACCACTTCCTTATTACCTAGAAGGTGGACAAATCGAAGGCACAGACCAGTCACGCGGTCGTGGGTGGACACTAACACCAGATCCTGTCCACTCTCTCTGTTGGAAAACCACACATATCATACCACGTAACAAATTTGGAGATAAGACTGACATGTACAATTATCAGCCCACAAATATTACTCCAGTTACCTCTAGCATTATAGAAAAAATTGTTAGTGACGAACTCTCCCACTATTTGCTTACTGAAAAATTTATCAATCATTCTCAAAATGGATTTCTTAAAAATCGATCCTGTATGACCTGCCACTTTTATTTCTTTAATTGATTCTTTACTCAACGTAACCGCGTATACCTTGTCTTAGTGCCATGATTTGACACTTCTAACGCTTTCGATATGGTTAACCACCAACTTCTTATAGATAAAATAGCTTCTTGTGGGTTCTGAAACCTTCTGCCTGTATGGTTTGATCACTTCTTCAGCCAACGATATCAAATAATTAAAGTTAACTCTTTCTTGTCGAACTCCGTCCCTGTCAGAAGTGGTGTAATACAACGTAGTGTCTTAGACCCTTTGCTCATTTTAGTTTTTGACAATGATATTTGTTGTTTTTGTGGGGGTAAGTCACTCCTATATGCAGACGATCTTAAAGTAGTATTTTAGTTTTCTCCTAATCAGCCGAACAATATGCAAAATTGCATCAGCATGGAGCCTAAAAAGATAGCGCAGTGGTGTTCAAAATGGCAGTTGGAACTTAACACGACTAAATGTGGATAGATATGTTTCGATAATACATCACCCAACTTAGATTTTACCATAAATGGTAATGTGTTAATTAAGCTACATACAGTAGTGAACTTAGATACTCCTACAATTTGTCCTTCATAGAACAGGTCTCGAAAAAGACCTTCAATTCCCAACGGTTTATGGGTTGCATGTTTCGAAACCTCTACAACGATTCACGTATTTTGATAAAGTATGGGTTCGACCATTCCAAGAATACCGCACCTTTATTCTTTTTACTGTTCGCATAAAGTATCAATTAAGGTTGAAATCTGTTTAGAGGCGATTTAAACTCGCATTCTTTGGACTGATTGTACCTTGGGTTATAATTCCAGATGTATTAAACTTCGGCTCGGCCCTTTATGGAAGAGGAGACTCAAACTAAATCTAATCTTTTTTCTTCAAAACACTTAATAAACTATCTTTTACATTCAGTAAAGTAATTCAAAATGCAGAAACTCTTAGTTACAGCATGCTTAACACCTTGTCATTAGTGAGACAAACACATCCTAAATCATCTCTCTATATGAAGTACTTTACCAGTAAATTATCCAGTCTCTGGAATAATTTACCGCAATCTATCCATGAAATAAAGTCACTTCCGTCCATTGATACTTACTTCTCTCGAAATGATTTAAATGTTCTTACACCTGTGTATCTTATTCCACAAGTGAGATTATAGGAAATTTGAATGTTTGAACATTATTATCACCGAATTTCTTAGGAAAGCCTCCTTAGTCGCTGTTACTTTACACTAATGCTGTCCCTTGTAACTTTAACCAATTTGAATAATATATAACACGAACAGTATATCATAAAATAACCTGGTAGACCTGACTGATCTATCATAGTAATTATTGCTTTTGTTCTTCCGTGCTTTCTCCTTCCTTTTTTATTTTCTCTAATTGTTGGTGTTTATAATCAATTCATTATGTTGCAGAAAATGACCTTAAATGCACCGTTCATACATCAACAGAATGTCCACATTGAAGAAAATTGAACTTTTCCGATCGATGCATTTCATTGCTACAATACATGTCATAAATGTACTACCTAAATCATTTTTGAACTAGTAAACTTAAAATAATCTTATATCACGTTTGTTCTCTACATCTAATGTCACTGTTTATATCAAGCTGGTCATGCCGGTAAACTGGAGTGAATTCTGTAATGATTACTTTCAGAATATACATATTATTTTACATTCCATTCAATTTTGTGGAAACGAAGGTAATTTAATTGGATTATAGACGAGTATAGTTAATAAAAACAAATTTTCACAACAATCCCAATAGTGTTGGTTGAAAAGATAACATATGAAAACTCAGATAAATTTGTTAGACAAAATCTAGAATGAAGGGGATCATAGTATTGAATTTATCTCACTTCTACTCACTGGTCCTCTTAGTTTAACATTATGGGTAGATAAAAATTTGGAGGCGGGTAGAGATGAATCTGATTGGCTTAATACGACATGACCTTCAAATCTCCTCTCATTCATTGGGATTGATTTCTAAACATAGGATAGAAATATTTTTCATTAATGTTGCTGAGTAGATTTTTGTTCGAAGATTTACTTCGGCTTAGAAACATTGTGAACGAAAATATAAAACTCTTTACTGACCTCGAGATTTAGTGAAGAATAAGGATTAAGTTGTAACGAAATTAAAGATAAAAATCATAATAGTCATTTTATTCTCTCATTTCGTTTATGAAATATTGGAGTTTACTTTATAGTGAATGTGATATGCACAAATTATAGAAGCGCCCATATTGTCAATAATGTTTCCTTTTGTTAAATATATAATTTTTACACTTTTTATCGTTATCAACTACAATTTAACATATGGTCGGAGAGGATATTTTAATCAATTTAAACGATTTGATACTGGTCTTCTATCAGAAGGCTTACCAATGTGGCTAGAAAAACGTGAGGAATTTGAAGCTCCCTATAGCTATGATAGTAAGTTAATACATACTAGTTCTGTAACATTTAAATTACATTGTATTCTTGTATTCGCCTGCTTTTAAGCTTTTTCGTGATGTATAAACTGTTGCTATATTCTGTGCCTTTCTTAAGTTACTGTTAAATTATTACGAACGTGTTACTCAGTTCTCTTACACTTATGGAGTAGTTATACCGTTATGGTAATTTCTTAACTTTCTTTATGTGTTTATGAGTTTTGAGTCATAGTTGAATTGAGTATAACAAAGAACTGACCTACTTTCTACCTTCATCTTCTGATTGGCCACTTGGTCAGAAGGGACTCGAGGACCAAATAATTGTTGGTGTCTTAGTTGTTTATCTGTCAATGTGTCAATTGGCGAACAGGTCACCGGTCCTACTGGCAATATGGGTGAACTAATAGATAATCGGATTGTAACGAACGAGAACTCAGGGAGGATAACCAATTTGTTGTTGAATACAAAACTATAGAGCTATTTAGCAAAGTGTGAAAATCATACAATAAATGCTTCATTTGAAAATCGTCCACCAATTGTCTCAAATTTCATTGCCTTTATAATTATGCCCGTTTTCTTCAATTCGATCTTCACGACTTTCTGCTGCCAGGTACCTCACTTCTGGTTGGTGTCACATGCTACTTATGTCGACATACATAAGTAGAATTTACCACAAGACTAGAGTTAGAGGTCACACAATTGCTTTTCTGTCATTACGGCCCAATCACAAGAGACCCAAAATAATTCAAACCAAGGAAACATCCTGATGTTGTTTCCTTCCGATTTAATACAGACTGTTGGCTACAGTTTGATAGTACTTTAAAATGAATATTCTGATTCCATTTTACCAAAAAAAACATATTCTTTAACTTCATGACTGAGAATATTTTTGAGTGTCCACTCAACTTTGTTTGGTAAAGAGTCACAAGCTTTAGGACTAAGTAGTTAGGGTGAGAGTAACAAACGAGGTCAGTGGTAATGAATAAAGCTTCCAAATTTTCTTAAAACTATAGCTGGGTGGCGTATCAGTGAAGATCATAAGTTTTATTCCCACGAAAGTCTATAGTTCATAACACAGAAGACTCCTAAGGTGAAGCGAAACAATTATAAGTAAAATTCTTTGACTTTAGATAACTCGTCATCTGTAATCAGTTCATAGAAAATAAACTCATGCATTATGGTATTGTATACATGTTAAAGTATTTGTATTTTTCAGTTCCGTGTTATTCTTTTTTAAGGTTACAGTTTACTTTATAATTAGGTGTAATAACAAGCTAAAATAATTTATCAAATCTTAATATAAAAATGCTTTATAACTTGTGAAAATAATAATTTTTATGTGTGAATCAGTTATGTCATTCGGATTAATTGATTGATTCAGTGACATCTGGTCTTTTTTCGGTTGTCTTGTTTTAAAACACGTCGAATTAAGCTTCAAATAGTAATAGAAAGTAACTGAAATAGTGATTTACTTACTTAGACCTGTTACCCCTCGTGAAGGAGTATAAGTCAACCACCAGCATTTGATGCAGAAGCCATCGCAATCCATGTTCACAAACCTAACCTTTGCATCCCAAAAATATTTGTACAATCACTTTCGCTACCTTGATCATCGGTATTAGCGTGCTTGCGGCAGAACTATTTTCGTATTCCTTCCATTTTTCTAACTTGGTATTTTTGAACTTTGTATTTTCAGCTCTTGATTCTTACATAACTACTATTCTATTGACCATCCATTAAAATATTTTGTTCCTTCTCTTTTTCATATATTATGCAACGTAGCAACTTCTTGATTTTCGAATAATTACTTTGAATATTATCGATCCTCTTTCTTCCAATAACTCAATGTTAATTCTTAATCGAAATGTCACTATGTAATTATTACGGAACTTCGAATTGTTTTGTCTTGATTAGTTTGTTTTAATCTTATCTATGGTGCAGTTATTCAGTTACTTTTAAATTATGGACTTTAATTACATAATTCTTGCATATTTCAAAAGCAACTGTCACCTGCACTAAATGTATACTTCTGAGAAGTTTAAAACTCCTAGTTAAGATGTGCCCAGTACACCTTAATTTTGAGTGATTATTCAATTTATATTCATCAATGTTGAAAATTACGTTCAAAGTAAATATTATCCCTATCAGAATGGGTTTTGTGGAGGTTTTAGAAATTTCACTGGTTGAAATCATGAGTCAATTGAAGCTAGAACACCATGGAAAACCTGGAAGCACTGGCCGGCCGTTTCGTCCTAGTATGGGACTCCTCAGTAGTGCGCATCCACGATCCCGCCCCTTGCGAGTTGAAAGTTAGGCATTAACACCGTTGAATGCCGGCTCAGTGGTCTAGTTGGTTGAGCACCTGGCGCGAGACTGATAGGTCCTGGTCCGAATCTCATGGGGGGCGGGATCGTGGGCGCGCACTGCTGAGGAGTCCCATACTAGGACGAAACGGCCGGCCAGTGCTTCCAGGTTTTCCATGGTGGTCTGGCTTCAATTGACTCATGATTTCAACCAGTGAAATATTATCCTTACTTTATAAGAGTACTTTTCTATCATTATTATATTAAATGTAGTAAATGAGGCTGGTTCGGTCGACGAACTTTAAATCTGTCTCCGAAATTCTAGTAAGCTGTTGTATCCGTTGTTTGGATAGTGTACATGTAAGCTCTGTTGTATCCGGGTCGCCAAGTGTCATATCTGGGGAGTCGTCGCTCTTATATCTGGAAGCACTCTGTTGAGTCATCAATCTTACTCCTTAAGTTTGACAAACCGGAACCACTGCAACTCCTTGATCCTACTCTTCATACTTTAAAACAAGAACCATTTCAGTTCCAACAGGCCAAAGTAAGAACACAAAAGACTGGTAAAATGAAGATTTATTGACTATACGAAACCACGCCCGCAATCATTTATGTATGAAGTTTTAAACACACTTTATAATAACACATAGGGAGGAATACATAGGGTTACTATTAAGACGTATACTGAATACAGTTCACATGAATTGATACAATGAGTCGTCACACTGAATGGAAGTTCACATTTTCCAAATCAAACGAAGTTTACACTCAGTTGGCACAAAAAATATTGACCTTAAAATGACACATTTAATAAAGTTCACACCTGTTCCACTGGCGTAAATTCAAAATCAATTGATTTAAAAAATAATGTCATCTTATTCCGTCATATCAGAAGTTGAGTTGATAATTGTAGAATTGAATCCAACCACATGTAATAATATCTGTTACTCATAAATTTGACTATTACTTCATTTCCTTCAACTCATGATAAACTGAAATTTTAGGCTTGTAGATCATGGTTTGATGGCTTAAAAGTAACATGATCTCCATGAGACCTGAAATCTAATTTAATAACACGGATGTTGTTATGAATATCTGTTTTTGAAGATTCTCAAACAAGAATACAACACTTATCCAACCTTCTCTAGTCTCAAAAATATCTTTACATAGTGTTATTTCGTACTGAAAGTTGATTTCAGATAGAAATAACCTTCACTATATTCAACTCAAGTGATCGACTCTCTCTAAAATTTGTTAACCGATTTAAGTATTTATTTTGAAAATCATTAAACTGTTCAAACGAACTATTTACAACAAATTTTTTAACCTTTCCAGGTATTTCAAGGGCACTGAAAGATCGCAGTAATTTGGAACTCGATGAACTAAACCGAATTATCAGTTACAGCAACATTAACCATCCTTTCTTAGAATATTTTGATAGTGAATTAAATCGTAAGTTATCCGGTCTATTTTCTTTTAAATAGTACCTAAGAGTAGAATTTAGAATAAACTATATGGCATTTAAGCACATTTATGTGATATAATAAGTAATTTAAAATATCTTCACTTAACACAATATGATTTTGTTATATGATAATGTGATCCATGCCCGAATTTATACCACCATTAGACTGGATACTCAATCGATGCTCTATACTCAGACTGGGACCACATTATTTCAGGTACACGATTCACGATCAAATACATCATTCTGTATGTCAAGCTGATCATGCATGTAAACCTCCATGATTTCTGTAATTTTCAGAATGCATTATTATTATTATTATTATTATTATTATTATTATTATTATTATTATTACTATGAATATAGGGAGAGGCAGAACATAGATCAGACAATAGATTTATTTAACAAAACACGAGTAGTTCATGCACGTAATAAGTGCATGGTAGGAATAAATGATAGGATGACCTTACTGAAGCCTGATGGGAAGGAGTCATATATATGCGCGTATTCAACACTCTAAATACTCAAGAACAAACAGATTCATGTTGTATTAATTTAATTTAATAGCTATCATATTCAATCGTGATTCATTTTCTCAATTAAGGTTTCGTAGAGAAGTAGCGTAATAAAATCATGAGTAAGTATCCAGCAATGGTGGTTAATACATGGTTAAAAACTTTATTTCAATTATACCAAGTTTCCAGAAAACAAAATCGTAACTAGACAGGTATCTAGTAATAGTATAAATTTTTTACTTAACATTCCAAATGTTTATGAAAACAAAAAGTCTAACTTACATAAATTCGATGTTAGCAAACATTTCCCATTTCTTAAGCTACATTTACGTTATTTTCAATTAGGTCATAAAAACATAATGCAACTAAGAACTATAGTCAATCAGTTTAGTTTGTAACGTGTGTATGAATACCAAGGTGGGAATATATAAGATTGTGAAATTGTTTGAATATTTATTATCTCAAAGTTCGTTCAATACATAAATAACAACAAAACTCTCGCCAACTATCGATACATAAAAGAAACGATTTCATGTATAATGCGTGAATGAATAAACAATTTGATAACCAAAGTTATGTGAATAAAGAACTCTCATAACTGTCTGGATAGATTTCTGAAGAGAACGTGGGACTTCGCTGCACTTAGATATAAATCTGACTCCAGCGCTTTAGTTGGTATACTATCTGATCCTTCTGCTTTCTCACTTGCGATCTGTCTGATAACTTTACCAACATCTATTGTTGGTCCAGTATTATCTATAGGATGTGTACTGCTTTGATGTCCGGTGGGTTCAGTAGTCCTAGTCTACTCAAGAGTTCTTCAAAGTACTCTACCCAACCGTTCCACTACCTTAATCCTCACTGCTTGGTTTGCACTCTCTGTTCCTGATTGGTTACTCTGATCTATCAAATTTCTCTTCTACTTTATTCGTCCTGTCACATCATTGTCTCATACTTCCTTGTTTTGGCTTTTTCCGCTGTCGTTGCTAGATCTTCCACGTGTTTCTGCTTGTCAGCTCTAATGCTCTTCTTCACTTGCTTGTATGCTTCTGTGTACTCAACTTGTGCCTTGACTTTCTCTGCTCGTGTTCGGCTGTTGTTAATGGCTATCTTCTTATTCTTCGTTTCTCGAATCTTTTCTAGGGTTTCTACAGAGATCAATTCCTTATAATGATGCTTCTTGAGGCCCAGAACCTCCTGGTATGTTGAGGTTAATGATTCTTTGATCCCTCTCCAATTGTCCTCTAAAGTGGATTCCTCTTCTCTGAGTAGATCTTGTAAGTCATGGAACCTTTTGTTGAGTTGTATCTTGAATTCGTTGAGTTTGTCAGTATCTGCAAGAAAGTCTGTATTGAAACTTTGTAATGATGTTTCTCTAGTTACCGAGTGCTTCTTTAGCTTCAAGTTCGTCTTAATGAGTGGAAATGCTGCTATGTATGACTGTGTTGTTGAAAGCACATAGATTTTCCAGTCTCTCAATATTCTCATTCTTTTCCCCAGATTCATATCACTCCATGATGCCTTTATACTGGGCATTAACCATCCTATCAGGATGTTCAGTTGCCTTCCTCGAAAGTTCTCTGCGATCGACTTCAGCCTCATAAAGCCGGTCTCCATCATATTCGCTACTACGATTAGCGGGTGCATAACATTGGATGCCACTCTTCGTGATTCCCTACTTGTTTGAAGATCAGCAATGCAACTGGTTGTGTGTGTGTGTCCGAAGCATTTTCTACTTCATGATAGGAACACAACAGTACCTGCTCCGAATTTGATCCTTCTGTCCAACTTGCATTCAATGTGTCCCACTTTTCCGAGCTGCGCTAGGTTTTAGTTTCTAATTTACCCATCCATTTGACTGATCCTTCCTGTCTCCTAAACTATGCGAACATTTTATTTACATAAGTTAGTTATTGCTCTGGTTGCTAGAAGGGCATCATCTCCATGATTTCCGAGGAATCTCGGATTCCACAACGGGGCGTCATAATTCTTCTATATGAAGACCCAGGAGAGATTTCAAATGGTCTAAGTGCTTTTTTATGGTTGGCGTTGTTTTTAGAATTTTTCCTTTTACATTGTAGAATATAGTTCTCATACCCAACCTCCACTTTTACCCGGGCTTAAGACCGGCACTAATCCTAGAAGGTTTGCAGGACCAGCTTTACGGAGTTGCTGAACTACGGAATATTATTTATACTAAAGCAATATGTCAACTTTGAAAGTATAGTCCGAATTCCTTAACTTAATATTTCTTTTCGAACATGTTATTGAATTTAATAGTATCCCAACTCTAGAAATTATTTAAGATATTTTATGTTAAGTTCGAGATCAGATATACATTTTCCTTTTGTTTAGCTGCCGTTTTAATTAGGCTTGAATTATTATCCACTTAATAATACTTTCTTTAACCAACTTTTTTTAATTACAGCAAGTGTTTATTCTGATGATATAATAAATCGTGATATGAGAGCTAAACCTGCTTTTGAAGCGATAAGTGGTCTGCAAAATAATGGATTACGATCTTATATGAATTGGCAACCTGCAAGTGAGTACAACGTGATATTTGTTCCCCTTACTCACAATAATTACTACCAACCCAGTAATTTGTTGGGCCTATGTTTAAATCCCACAAATTCTTTCCTCTTCCAGCTCCGACTACACAAAGGAACATTTATTGTAATAGAAATCAACAAAGATTAGTTTAAGCAAGCAAGGTACATTATAAATACATACGCAATGATTTAAGAAACAGTGAAAAAACTTAACAAATTAAAACGAAAAAAGGGTATTTAAAACCTGTAAAACTTAATGAGGACAGTAATTATATGGAGACTATAATACTTAGTATTAAGCTCAGTGATGAAATAAAAATTAGCTATCAAACGATTCCTCATCTAATTTAGAGAACATTAAGTCAAATTCATTGTGGTTAACGTATTATGAAAATAGAGGCTTTACTAAAATTGATGGTATTTTGTCGTAAGCGAATGACATTATAGGTGTTCATTACTGTGGAGATCCAAGCAACAACATAATGGTCACCCAGTTCTCGCTGGTTTTCAATGATTCTATTACTTTTATCAGTCTGTGATATGTAAATTGCCTCGAAATTGTAAATAACTCTTCTCTGACTCAATTAATTATGTGATGAAAGTTGGTTGTGTCCAGTATGAAGGAAGGGTGCATTCAGGCCTAATCAATTATTGTAAGCAAGGCTAACATCCTCCCGGCACCTTGAACGTTCAACACCCGTGCTCCACCGGCCTGCTGAGCCATCTACACCCGATGTCCACCCAACAGCCGCACGTCCCACTGCTCCTCTCCACCGACAGCACCTGCCACATCCAACGCCACCCCTCTGCACCGGAATGCCCCAACCGGCACCCCAGATCCAGGCCCCCAACGGCGTCGGCAGAACAGAATCCTTCCCCTCTACTTATTGGCAGCGACACCAAATGTAGTGAACAGAACACGGTTAAGGACAATCGAATGTGCTTGATACAGAATCACAGGACTTGTTAATAAAATCTAACAATCATATAGTAAATGCTTAATTTGCAAAACGTCCATCAGTTGTCTCAAAACGACTCAGACTTTACTATCCTTGCATTTGCATACAAATTGCATTCTGTTTCCATTCTTTACTGTTCGGTCCTCTTGTCTCTCTGCTGCCAGACATGTTGGTTCCTGGCTAACTTTATATACTACTTATTTCGATATAAGTAGCACACACCACATTACTACAACAATTAACGAAAAAGGTTGAGAATAAACAAATGTTTGACTAATAAGGGTTTATTAATGCAGATTAAGTGTTCGCGCGAGAGACCGAAGGCCTTAGTTTCGAGTCCCGCATGCAAGGTCATGGATGCGCACTGCTGAGAGGCCCCATACAGGGACGAAACGGCTTTCCAGTGCTTCCTGGTTCTCAATGGTGGTCTAGCTTAGATTGACTCGTGAATTCAACTGTTAATATTAAATTAATAACTAGAAATTATCACGAATTACAGTTTCTCATTATGTCGTTGTTATTTTTTTAAAAAAAAACATTCACTTTCTAGTCATTGGTTCAGTTTGTGCAGCATTGGGTGTATTGGTGATAGCAGCAATAGGTACAGCTTATCAGAAGTAAGATTTGTAACATTTAAAAATATCTGTTTTGATTTATTACGATTGTTCATTAAACATTCTTTGTGTTTACTAGGTTGATTGTAGGTTTTAAAGGTTTGAAACTTAGACAACATTATCATGAGTTCAATGATGTTATACATCAATATTGATGACAATAATAAGATCAATATAATGAGATGGTGACTAGTTCGTTACATATTATTAAAATGAACTTATGTTAGAAATAAAACTTCTCAAATAATTAACTAAGCAGTGATTTCCCACCAATATCTTGATATTTAAAGATAAAATCATATTTATTTGTAATAAAATGTTTACTCTTTTAGCTAATAAAATCATGTATGAATAAACGAAAGACTATTAATTGATATTTGATTGAAACTGTAGTGATCTGCACTATATGAAACTAAGATAGATGACATTCTATTGACTATATCCAAATGATAAACACAAAATACATTGTTGCATAAAGTTTCATTCGACTTACTAGTAACATTGAGATTCTGGACATATGTAAAATTCGACGATCACTGACGCCATGTATATTATCTTATTATTTTGTTCAATTGGTAACTAATTCTTGCAGAAATATGTTTTCATGAAAAATTATTTCATGTGCACATTTCGTTGAAGCAAAATCATATCAAATAAATTAATGCAAAATCTACTACATTAATTACGACTCACGACTTCATCAACACTAAGTCAACTTTTTTATACTTTTAGTAATATTTACATATAAATTCCGTAAATATGTTATCAGTGAAATGAAAATATACTTTATCCATCAATTACAAGACCTAAACTATCAAGAAATTAACTTCTTTTAATAAAATATCAATTGAAATTGTATTTTACACTTGTTTGCCTAACCATTATTCGTAACTATTGTCATCTATCTTGTTCTTTTCCAATCAAGACGTAAACTATGGAAGCAAACCCGCTTGAGTCAAGATGAAGAATTTACATTAGAGAATTCAAATTTACCAGACAAAATGCTATCACTTAGTTCGGAGGATGATCGTAAACTTGCACAATCAGCACAAATGTATCACTATCAACATCAAAAGCAACAAATGTTAGCGTTAGAAAGTTAGTCAAAAATGTTAATATTTTAATCAAAATCTATCTAGTTAAATTAATTTATGTGGATCTCTTACTATAGCATCTTTTTTACGAGATTAGGTTTGTGACAAATAGCAGTCTTATGATTACTTTATTCTTTATGATCACAAATGGTTTAAGTTTAGTTACAAATTAACTATACACCTCACATACATTTGATATGTGATGAGAAAATATATCTGAAAGCTATTGTGAAAAAAAACAATAATGATAACACGTTTCATAATCGATCCGAACGTAATATTTTATGAATGAATACATTTGATTATGTTTTTCACCAACTAGCTGAATAATTTACATAATAGTGCATAATTTTAATTCAGAATATGAATAAATTTAAAGTAATATTCTATCTTGATGAAAAAGTCGCTTAAAATCATCTTTCATTATTTCAAGTCCTTATTTCAAAAGAATTGAAAACCCATAATTTCTAGATTTTGCTTAAATTAAGAACAGAGATCGAATAATAAGAACACTGAAACGGAACGCGGAACTTTAGAATATAATCACAAATTTACAAGTCATCATCGATTGCTAGTTTAAGAGCTCTACATGTTACATTTCCAATAGAAATGTATCACTTTTAAGAGTAAGTTCACTAGAATATAAACAAAAGTACTAAGTTAGGATCCAAAAATTTTTTCAGGGATTAATAAAATTTCAAATAAGTCTACCAAAAAACTTTCAGTAATTGACTTACAATTTGTTCATTATAACGCCTATTCCTCCATTTGATCTAGCTTGGAGATTTCCTCTTTTAAAGAAGTTCCAAACTAGAGTTATTTCATTCTTCCTCGTTCTATAAGGATTTTCCAGATGATATAAAATTAGGATTCCGTGTCGGATCAATAAGTAAAATTTTCTATCTATACTATTCTTTGCACATGTTTACCACAATTAGTTACAAAAAAGCATCACCTAACATAGATTTGCTTAGTTAAATGTAAAACCAATATTGAATTCATTCAATCAGTTTTTACACATCACTCACGATAGCTTAATCGCTTTATACAAGCAATCAATATAATGTTCAAACTATGTACTGCATGTAATTAAACAATATATTGGTTGTGTCATTTGAAATCCATTCCATATGGATGGTTAAATAATTATTGTGTGTGCTGAATACCTAATTGATAAGGCTCAGACTACTAGAAATCGTGAATCGAATCACATAAACAATCACACAAAGACTATAGGTGAAGATTTATTGGATACCAAAAGAAACTAATATATATATATATATATATATATATATATATATATATATATATATATATATATATATAATCAATGGAAATTGACTAATTCATATAATTACCCCTTTCAAGATGTGATTACTTGTCACAAACGATTGGAACAAGATAAGTTTCATATGTCACTCGCACTCCAATCAATTAAATATAAGCTGACCATATCACAAATCTACTGAGTCGATTAGCGACTACATAATTTGAATGATTGAGATAAAAAGTAAACTAAGTATACAATGTTTGAAAATGCTCGTTTTTACCTGACTCTCACAAAGAACATGAGAGATAAACAATATCTTGAAAACCCACGTCCACTCTTATACTTGTGTTTATATCTATGAGAATTGATTTATAGTTAATTCAAGTGAACTTCCATCACATAAATCATGCTAACTATATGTTTATGTATCAAAAAAACCATCTGCATTGTAGTTTTCCAAACAATATATATACAACTTATGGTTTATATGTCTTAGTTTAAAATGCACTGATCCTAACTAAGATCAAAAACTTATTTATTTTTATTTATTTGAACACATAAACATTGGTACAAGGGGGAAACGAAGTACATATACGCCACACAATAACAACGAGGCCAGTAACAGCTATCATTGATTTGAGTGAGCGCTGTGATACAGCCCGGATGCCCAAACCGAAAGCAGATTATTTTCCTAGGGGGGCCGAACTCAGAGACTTTGACCTGAAGGCCTAATCCACAAGACAGTGGAGCAACGTCCTTGACGTCTCATGGTAGCCGGTGATCAACAATAGGTTCATGCACCTTTTTTTCCTTCATGATCCTGTAGATCATGAGCAAAAATAGTTTGGAATCAGGCTTTTCCAAGTCCCTTAGCTAGATCCTCCATGTACACCAACCCGGTTAAAGTGCCGGACATTTACTTTTCGTACTCTCAGTTGTGTAAACAACACCCCCACCGCGATAAGGCAGTGAGTAGGACTTCACTGCCAGTGGCTGTATACGCGTGGCCATATAAGAGCACTTCGAGAGGGTCCTTGGCCGCACTAGCGCATTATGGGGGGTATTTGTATTTCATGATTTATATTATAAAAATGATTACACCGTTTCATTGTTAATATTCTGTCTTCACACGGAATTACTCATAAAAGTATTTGTGAACGATGTATTGATAGAATTCATATTTTAAAAACTGATTTCCCACTTCAGATTTTAATAATAATTTCTATCAACATGAAATGAAGTGACTTTATGAAACTTAATCATGATACTTTTAAAAACCATTCAACTAGGTCACAATGATAATAAGTCGATCTACATTTGATTTTTCCGCAATAAACATACAAGCAAAGAACATCAAATAAATTTATATTTCACACCATTGCACAAGCAGGTGGCTATCAGGACTCAGTAGCTAAGTAGATAACGCGATCTCGTTGAAACGAACAGTACTGGGTCCATGTCCCGCATTGAACATCATATCTGGGATGCAGGTACATCGAAATGACGAGTCCCAAATAGGACGAAACGCACATTCTGGATTCCACTGCCAGCCACCATCCATCTTCGCTTCTAAACAAATCTCAGTTAATAAATGCTTTAGAAAATATTCAACTAAAATAAAACTATCATTCTGACAGTTGATTTTAATGCTAATACCAAACAGTATAGCTATTTCACTTCGAGACTGAAGTTTAACCAATATTTGGTCAGACTTTTCAAACAGATTATTCATTTAAACAAAAAAATTATAAAACACTGGATAATTGAGACGATAAATTTCGAATACAAACATACTGATGACTCAAATGTAACATGGAAATAATCACCTCTCAATATTGATAAACAGAATTTTAAAGTTATTTTACAGTATGTGATCAAGAATTATTATTCAAATTCAATAGAATCAAGTATCCATCCAATGTTTTCATTAGGAAGGAATGAACAATAATAATCTATTAATCTAGACTAACAATAATTAAGAATAGTGTTTTATTTCATAGCCCATAAACTATAAATAACATTGATGCAGTCGAACACTAAATAGACAAATTTCACATTTTAAAGTGAGAAATTTGTTATTCAGCAACCATATCATATCATATTCAATTGAGAAATGAATTTTTAAAAGTCAATTCATTCAAGGAGTTATTATAGGAGTTACTGTTAAATAAGAACTTTCGTCTAAATTTGAACGAATAGTTTCACAATATTTGGGCGTTGAGTTAATATGAGACATTAAAGAGGAAGAATGTATTTGTTAAATCTCAGCGAAACAATTTGAATTAAACCCAACGTTTCGTCTGGCAATCTGGTCTAAGCTTTTTCAACGAAAATATAATCAAACAACAAAATTAGTAATAGGAGTTACTATTATTTATTAATTATTATCAATGATAATCTGTATTTACTTCATGTTTATCTGATTCCCACCTCTTTTATCTTCACTAGTATTCCAGATAATGATAATCGATGAGGAGAATTATTATTTTTTAAATGGAAAAGAAATCGCCATCAATTTACTCATTAAAAGATCCCACAAACTTTCAATCGATCAAAAATATTTGATCGTTAACTGTGTTTCAAAATGTGTCGATACAAATTGACATTTCTCGCTAAAGACAAATTTCCACAATACATCATTTGTCTCCAACTGAAAATATCTATCACCTAACTCTCATGTAATAGTTTGACTGTGAATTGACAAAAGAATATCAGAAATTTTCAAAACTGAGATTTTTCACAGTAAAAATGAAATACTACTGATACCTCTTAGTTTACAACACGTTAGTCAAAAGTATAAGCTTGTTGTGAAAATATGTTCTCAACTGATAAGACAGTTGTTTTATCATTGTAGTTGTTGTGACTAATCACTTAAATCACAAAATAAGCCACTCTGATAGCTAGGTACTAACTGTAGGAAATAATTTACTACATACAAAATTCTAAACTGTTCCTTAGACTGTCGAGCACAGAGTTTTAGGTTAGCCGAAGTCAGAACAATAAGCTATTTGGCTTGAAATATTCTATCGGTTTTAAAACAAATTAACATTGTTAGTACACAGAAAACAGAAAATTTAGTACATTAAACAGGAAAAAGGACACTAATTGTCATTAATTGGTTTTGAAGCCATCTAGGCACATGTTCAATGACCCTTGATTGCATTGTTCGATTACTCCTCCCCATATACATGTTCCACACACACATGTAAATTGGTAAATACAATTTACTAAGTGATCCGATCAACGTGGGAGGTAGAAAACCAAGTTCATCGATAGCGAAACATATAATTGAAACGGGGCACAAAATTGACATTAACACAGCTTTAAAAAGTTGTTTAGAAACTGTCAAGGACTAATTCTCAGATTTATTAAAGCCTTGGCTATTCATAAATTTAAACCCCCTTATGTGTACAAAAATAATTTGTCGTAACTCTGAATTTACCCTGGTAATCCTTAAGTCATTCGGTAGCTTAGGATAACGCGACAATTTCTTATTCTTTCTATACGATGTTAAACTGCTTCTCTCCCGCTTGTTACCTTTTTTACTAGAACTTTCATTGAATTAATGTTTATTAATTTCCATATAAAATGCCCTGACAAGTATATGTGTGACCAGATTGTTCGAAATGTATAGCGCAAATACATAACATTTTTCGGATGAACTCCGTCTTCTCATTGTTTTAATAAATATACCATCCACATTGTTAATATCACGTAACTGCTAATCCGTGTCGGGTAGAAACAAGTGTCAGTACAATAGGAGATGGTCGCGCAATTTCGTGGATTGGTTGAGGTTAGACATTAACGCCGCTGGATGCCGGTTCAGTGGTCTAGTTGGTTGAGCACCTGGCGCGAGACTGATAGGTCCTGGGTTTGAATCTCGTGGGGTGCGGGATCGTGGATGCGCACCACTGAGGAGTCCCACAACAGGACGAAACGGCCGTCCAGTGCTTCCAGGTTTTCCATGGTGGCCTAGTTTCAATTGACTCATGATTTCAATCAACAAAAAACTTAACAATCTCCACAACACCTAAACTGATAAGTTTATGATTATCGTAAAATGCTTACTATTAAAGATTATATAACCTTACATTAGGCTTTCATCACATATTTTATATACAATCATTGATGAACCGTAAAGTACACATTCTAAACTAGAACACTAAGTCTTACCAACTACTGTACTGTTAGGATAGACAAAAGTATGTATGAATTCCAAGACATGTGCAAGCGACCACTTCTCTTGATATGATTGATATGACCTAGTAATAATTACTTATATATGCGAACAGCTAACTCAACTCTACTATGAATGATATCAGAAAACAGAATAACTGATCAATAAAACAAAAGTCATTTTATATTAAAAAATTGCACATTCCTATATAAAGTATTTAACAGAAAATAAACATGAATAAAAGTTATCATAAAAACTAATAAAAATCAGATTCGGATGCCTCAAGTCGTTTACTCATTTATGAATCAATTCATTTGAGAGTTTACAATTTAGATCATTTCTTTGTTCACTATATCACTGAGCCATTATGTTCATAAACGAATCTAATTTAAAAATGCCTAAAATTCCTTCAGTAAGTATTTTGATAAACTCTTTGTACTTTAAATCAATCCATTATAGTGCCCCTTTGTACCAATGTTTATGTGTTCAAATAAATAAATAAAAACTATCAAAAAGATGTCGTGTGGATATTATAGTAATTTAATAGTTGAGTTCATGAGTTGTTCGCGCACGAGACTGATAGGTCCTAGGTTCTTAGCCCGCTGTCAGGATCGCGGGTGCGCGCTGCTGAAGAGTCCCACAATAGGACGAAACGGCCGTTCAGCGCTTCCAGATTTTCCATGGTGGTCTAGCTTCAATTAACTCATGAACTCAAATAGAAACTACTTTAACGATGACTTCGACCATATAACGAACTTCGGTGGTCGCCTTACTGACATGAAAACCTAATACAAGACTTTTAATTCTGATGACATCACGAATTATGAAGTGACTTGATATCATTCCTCCATATTCCCAGCGTTTGCTCTTCACTAACGAAAAGTTACTATAAACAGCGTAGATAAAAGGATTGTTGAGAAATACATTTGTCCTTAACTCTTCCTCAGTAACATAACGTATTCCCTTTACTACGTACATTTTCAATTAATAATACTATGTTTCCTATTGACTGTAATCTAATACAGCTTACATTATTAGAGCTCATTATTAGAGAAATGGTGGCTAATACCGTTTTTTATTAACTTTTTACGTATTAATAACCAGTGATATTAATTTCACCTCATTCTTTCACATGGAACAACATATTTCACAGTTAGAAAGATGGATTGAGAAAAGAAATTTTTTTACCGTCTTAAAAACTAACCACAGCATAATTAATTATAATCATCCATCATAGTATCAGATAATGTAGTTTGTGAATATATATCTAGCCAAAATGAAATAAAGTATTTTTATTTTTGAAATTATTCAATAACTAATTATTTCTGTAATGCTGTTTTTTTCAGAGTTAATGATCATACTAGAATAAGTGATGAGGATGACAGTGAAGATGATGTGGATGAGGGAGATTTCACAGTTTATGAATGTCCAGGGCTCGCTAATGTAAGTTAGTCACATCTCTATCATTTTGTTGATATATCACTTGAGGATTTAAGTAATCCATTGTTCACCATATTTAAGGTGTTTCTTAAAATATTGAAATAATTACTTAAAAATTCTAGAAACATCATAAAGTTAAGTGAAAGCAAATAATGTGTTTCATGTTATTAGAAAAAAAAACGAACCGCCAGTAGATCATCATCAAGGAAGTATAAATACTCTAGAATACGGTGTACCTCCCCATAGCATTATCCATAATTACCAAACCTTTCAAAGACGATGAATGAAGTTATTATATCGTTTACTAAATAAAAACAGACGTTTTATACCTCAAAACGGAATACAATGTTTGATATTCACCTAATGAAATGTGTTTGAATTTGAAAAAAAACAACATTGATTCTATCGCTAATTTACATTGATAACAAGGTATATTAAGTCATTTACAAATAGCACTAGGGTTTATTAGAAGCTTTAATCACCAAATGGATAGATTCGTAAATAATATTCGTTTACATCTAGTTTGAGCAAAAAAGGTTTAACCGATTATCACTATAAAAACGTTTTACATGTTGCGCTTGTACAGTGAACTAAAAGTACGATTAATCATCTGTATCGAATGATAATTCTCGCTTTCCATCACAAAATTTCTAGTCAAACTTCCAAGACTGATTTACAGAAAAAGTTTCATCATCATCAGAAATAATGATATCTTACTATTCATACGTTTATATAAAAATAAACTAGGTAAATAATATTAGAACAGTGAAAATCTTTTTCTTTGTTTCTATCCGGAGTTATTTATTTATCAACAAAAGTTTCAGTTTGGTTTTGTACTCTCGTTCTTTATATTAGTTAAATTCTAAAATTCAACGGTTGGTAAATTTACATCAGAAACCAGTAAGTGAATTGTTATTATGACCTGTTAGAACAAGAACAATGAGTCAATAAAAAAACTACGATAATTTTAGTAATTTATAACCGGTAACAGAATAATATGAGTGTAGTTTGAAATATGTTGTACAAAAAGTCACACGGTGTTTATTTAAAAGAAAATTATGTCATACCATAGTAAGTTAGAAACATTGCGTATGACCTTGAGGCTTTTATTCTGTTTATTTACCGGTGAATACACAAACTGCAAAGAAAGATTTCGGCAAAGTAACCAAACTAAGACGTATACAATGTTTGTACATGGTTTACTGACTGACCTAAATTCATAATTCGCTTAAAAATATCTAAAAATAAAAGTATTATCAGAAAAAAATAATGCCTAAATTACACTTGATCGGCTCTCACTCGATCCGAAAGATTCAATTTGGCTTACTCGTTCGAAATATGGACATTCATTTCATTCATTTCCATAGACTTTATCACGGACTGATCTCAGTTAGACAGCCATTGTAAACAGGAAAGTACATAAAAGCTGTTTCGCCATAGTATGAGGATCCTCAACGGTGCGCCTACGCGAACCTACAAAAATACCCGAGTTTGGCGACAAGTGCTTCACGACTAGACCAAAAAAACTGGCATGAAAATTTAACATTTGCTGCAAACTATCATCACTTACATACTTACTTACACCTGTAACACCTATTCGTAAAGCATCGAACTCCCACCAGCATTCTCTATCCAATTCTGTCCTCGGTAAATATATCCAGTTGTTTCCAGTTTCTATTCATGCTTTTGATGTCTACTTCCAATTATCAATGCACTGCGTTCTTTGGTCTTCTTCTTTTCCGTATCCATGCAGGATTCCAAGTTAGCGCTTACTTCGTGATGCATAAACTCACACCAATATTTCACACATATTGAAAAGATAGATCATAATCAACTAGTCATATGAGTTTTCAGTGGATAAACAACAGTCACTAATCTGTTTCCATTTGATGTGACCATTATTGATTGCTCTGTGTCACCAAAATAACAGTTGATTGATAGTAATTTGATATGCCCGTCACGAAATTATCACTAATAAGAACAGACAAAATCAAGAAGTCAGTGTCTTTTAACTTCAATCAATTACATCTCATCAGTTTCTCATTTGTCAACAAAATCATGTTCGACACCTTTATTATTCAGAAGGGTTTAATTGTTCTTTTATGAGTTATGGTGGTCAGCAATTTTAGTTTTTCTAACCTTAATTACTATTTTGATGTCAGTTGCTTCAAATGTACATACGCATGTATAATAGTTTCCAATATATTATACGGCTAACAAATTAGCTGTTCTGCTTGTGTTTGTTATCCTGTTTAGTTGCGCTTCTCATACTAGATAGTTAAGACAATGTGAAAAGCTGTGGGCATAACTGATATGAAGAACAAAGTGGATTCTAATTCCATCAAGTCATCGACATTAATCCGAACAACATTCGTTACATAGCTCCATGCTATACTTCTTTGATGTTTTCCAAAAGAAGTGAAAGTAGTCATTTTCACTGAGTTGATTCGTTCTTATCAGAACTGTTCATCTCCTCAACTTCGAGTCATAAGTTTTAACCAGTGATTTCATGTTTTCCTATTGACGTTAGTCATTCAACTTCGATAGTCAAACACCTACCATTTAGTATCGTTCGAGTAAGCACGTTTTGATTACACATACTATGTGAGACGAAATATATACATTAATCAAAATTTAGTGTATTGAGAAACAATATTAAAGTAAATGGTAGCAGATCGTTACAGAGTGATCAGTTTAGGCTGAAAAATAATATGGATCTTGGTGGAACTCAGACGACATTTCTCTCAACTATCAATTAGGTTTCAATTTCATTGACACGTATCCTGTCACGAACAACAATTGTTCGCCCCGATTGGCATATTCACATCAGACTATCAAGTTGTACTTGTGACCTTGACATCACATTGTATTGATTATTCGGTATGAAGACGCCTTGTTTAATCATAAGACACTAATTATTAGGACTAACACGAAAATACACATATATTCGGGTGATTTTCATTTTGTTTTTTTCTCATGAAACAATACTGAAACATTTAAAAGTCAGATAATTCATTCAATGTACCAAAGAAAATGAATGATCATATGCAACGCTCAGATGTGAATTTACTTAACATTAGGTTACTTGTTGATGGCTAATCAAACATAGATTATTGATTTTCGAGTTGAAATTAATCCGATCAATAATATGTGGACATGTTTTATTGGAGAGTTATGTGACATGAACTGTTGTATATTCATTTTATGAAACCACTGAAGAGGTTCCGGACACGTGGGAATTCACAAATTCCTGTATCCCTGTCTCGTTTATTGGAATTACATGTCATTGTTTGTGAATTGTGATTTAGATCATTTTCCTTGAATGATTCCGATTTTCATTCTTCAACACAATCTGAACGATAATTTTCAGCAATAAATACAGATTTAGATGATACGTGGTCTATGTGCATACATATTTATTGTTTACAATGATTGGGTAAACACTATTTATCATGATCCAACTTACTGATTCTGACTTCGGTGGTAGATCTTGTAGTCTTTTGCTGTACAAAAGTAACTTGTTTCCCTGTTTAATACCTATGTTCCTTGAATGAGTCAAGTATGTTATTGGTTGAGAAAGTGTTTTCAAAATGATATTTTACATCATTTTTTAAAAGGCTAATTATCTTAGACTTATGTACGGGAGTTGTGAAGATGGATGTAAGATGTAACGAAACCATGCGTCTGGTTCGTGTTTGTATCGTGATCATCGCCAAATCACAGAACAGTTGGAGAGGAAGTTCTCATTCCATTACATTACAATGAGATGTTTGATTGTAGGCTTTTCATTATGAATTTCATAAACAGTGAAACGCGTACATATTCCACACGTCGATAGTACATCATTTGATACAGTGCAAATTTGACTGATTACTTGAGTGAACTACTAACTGGTTGAATAACGTTTTTGTTACTTTATTGCAGTCCATCTAAAATAAACAACTGTTCTTTCTTGTTCACATTATACATCTTACGAGCACTAAACGCTATTTGTTACTGAATAATTGAAATCAGTATTTCGTTGGCTGATTATCAATCAAATACATTGTGAAAATTCAGGGTGCGTCTTCATCTCCGCTCTCATACTCTGAAATATTCACAGATTCCAGATTGTATAGACTCGATTAGAATTCACAACAGACGTATTTTTTCAAATAATTTTCGTTATTATTCACACGTTTCATAATTCCGTTTGATTTAAACAATCATAGTTACTGACTATAAAAAAGGTTGTTTACATATGACCCTGAACGTTTTGGGTACTCACACTCCGTTTTTTGGTGTACTGATTGTTGTTCTCAATATCATACCATATTATACCACTATTTTTTTCTTTTTTGCTCTGTTGCCATATTGACAGATCATTAATGTAACTGTTATATGCGCTCACAGATCATATTTTTCTCATTACTGAATTATATATAGTATGTTTGGATTATACGCTATACTTAGGAATTATTGATTATACGTTATAATTGTAGACTTAATGACCCATCCAACACTCCATACCCAGCAATTAACAAGGAACGTAAAAATTTTTCTTGTGTAGTTCTAGATTGTGTATCATTATCTAATTTTATACAATATTATTTAATACGTTTGTTACTATATATGATAATTGTATTTTTAGTCTGCCACAGCTTTAAGGCAAGAGCGATATTTCTTTACTTCATAGTATTATCGAGTCTGTCCTAGTTGTAACTGATCAACTGTTAAAAATAGTATTTGACAATAACAAACGCCATGCCACTCGTTTACCGCATTAAGAAGTCAGCTGAACTAGACAACCTGGTGTTCTACAACAGGACATAGTAACGACACTAATCCAATAAGTGTTACACCGATAAGAAATAAATCAAATAATTTCATTTACCACATATTGTAAAACATTTGAAGACACCTGGCTTGGTTGAGACATTACTGTATCTATCTAATCAAAACTTCCAACTCCATTGAATACTCATAACAGTTGATTTCAAAATTCTATCACACTCTGTCAAATTATCATTGAGATAATTTAATTAAACTAAATTGCTCCTTCTTAATACTTACTTATTTTAATAGACTGGTGAAATCGAAGTCGAAAATCCTTTCTTCGATAATAATAATAATGATAATAATGAAAAGAATAATAAGGATATTGATAATGATAATGGTGGAGAGAAAGCGTTGAATACAAGTGGTAGCTCAGGTGAATTGATTGGTTGCAGTGATTTAGATGAGCACATTAGTGACTGTGTCAATAATGGATTTGCCGACGAGTTTAGTAATCTGACAACAAATACCACCACCAACGGAGAAGTAACATTGATCACTACAACTACAACCACTGTACCAACACCGATACAATCAGAGAAATCACATGCAGCTAGTAAATAAGTTGTTGTGGAACGAGAATTAAATCAACTCCAATATTTAATGCTAATTATTATTTTCATTGTGTTTTTGCATGTCGTCTGTTAATGTGATTTGTGTAACAGATTAGATAATCTTTTGAAATTCTACAATCATTCATATCATTTTCCAACATAACAAATAGTATCATTGGTCACTTGTAACGTCATCCAGTATACACTGAAGTCTTCGAAGCACATTTGAAGTATGGTAAAGTGCATAATTTCTTTGTAATAGATTTATCCGGAGACGTTATTTTTCCCTTCAAGATACAAACTTTTCCCATATTTATACATCATGATTAGAGGTTTTTATCATTTCGTTTGCTGTCACAGATAACAACGTGCTAAACATGTCAATACATTTTCGTTTTTATCAAAATTCATACATTTTCAGACACTACATATTCAAAGTTTACTGAAAATTTGTTCATTCTAAAGTACTTGTCGAAAAGCCAGTTATTTTTCTAAATTTTGAATACTGTGCCAAGTATATCATCCTCGCATTGTGCTGTTTGTTTGTTTGGTTTATCTTTGCTTACATCACTTTTCATCAATGTTCTTGTGTGTATATGCGTGCATCTCCGTGTAGATTCTTGTTTGTAATAGGTAGTAATCTGTTGTTCGGTTTAATTCGTCTTGTTACTTCAAACCACTTTTGCTACCATGAAATTGTGTGTCTCCTGTAATCATTAGTTGAATGTTATTTCTCAAATAGAATAAATGATTCCACAGGATTTGTCTTCATTTTCATAATTCAATTGATACTAGTTAGTAGTTGATAACAGTGAATTCTATGAGGAGAATATGGCATAGGTCTGTAGCGTGGCGTCGAGTCGAGATTGACTATGAACACCGCTACCGATAAACACGTGCCAAGTTAATCAGAAGGCGAAGGTTGGACCTAACCAAATAAATCCATAAAATCTTCGAGAAGCCAAATATCAGAAGACAGTTAATGGACCAAATCGCGATGTATTCGCTGGCGATCTCGTGGCATCGAAAGGATACCGAGATCGTGCCAGAATACAAGCTTGGTTACAGAACGTAACCGAATTCGCGCGAAGTTACAATCAAAGTGTAAGTAAAGGAATGGAAGCCAAATAAAGCTGTCATTAGCACAGTCAAACAAAAGCACATTAAAACAAGCACTGGTACAGTTGGTTATAATAATAATTGTTTCTATTAAACCAGTCGTGTTCTCGTGATAAATGTGAGTCACTACAGGTCTATGAAGTCATTAAATATTGGACTGAGTTGTGATAGGAGATCCAGAGTTCTGGTTGACATCTGCACGATAATCATAATCAATGGTTAGAGAACTTAGGTGGTAAAAAATCGGTTAGAGTAGGATATTCATATTCGTTTCGTAATTCTTTTAGATTTTACATCATTACGTAATTTTATTTCATATTCTTACCATGAATCAAACCTAGTTTAAATGACTAGCTGATGTGAGTATACAACTCCGTTTTCAGTCTATGCTTAATTGGATTACAACATCCATGAGTTAGTTTTTGGCGGTCTCACAACGAACCAATTGGAACAAAGTATGCGCAACACGACTTGACACTGTTTTAAAAATCTGACCTTACATTTTTTAAATAATACAATTAAATTTGATGATATCTTGCAGTTGAATGTCTTCTGGAAAAATAAAAAATTATTGATTTTGATGAATAACTTATTATTACTTCGTATGATACTACATATCCCATTGAGTATATGTTAGCTTCCATAACCTTTCCACATTCATTCAGAGCTCAATGACAGGACACTCGAAGAAATCCGATGGGTTTCCGAACCAACGTTGAGCCCATAGATCAGATATTCACCATACAGTAGATTCAGAAACATAGGCATATCTACTAGAGTGTGACTGTGACCACCTTTCTTGACATGATACTGGCACTCAACTCTGTCGACTGAGAGACGCTGTGGAAGAGTATGTATTGAAAGGTGCATTAAATAAGTACGAATATCATTTGGACTCTCTTTATTTATAAACCATTAGTTGAATCAAAACTTACGGTGGGCTGACATTTGAATTGGCCTACGAAAGTGGCACTCATGTTCGACCTTTAGGTCGAATGCTCCGGGCGTGGCCACTTAAGAAAACCACTTCCTTCCGTCTTGGCACCCGGCCAGTATCACATCCCACACACAAATCAAGTGACCTGTGTAGCACAGATGTATTCGGTGCCTTATTGCACCAATATTTATATGTTCAAATAAATAAATTGAAGCTTTGTCGGTTGGATAACTAGGCCAATAGTGTTGAGATAAGGCATAGGATACCAGGTAAAAATGGTGGTAAGTTGATTGATGGTACTATGAATAGAGTGAAATCACCGGAAAAAGTGCTACACAAGCTTAGTCAACGAATGTTCCGACTTGCTATGATGCTTATCGTTGAAGTAGTCTAAGAAAAGTGACAAAGCAAAATAAAGGAATGACATAGGCCTGTCTTTGCTGTGATTTACATCCACACCACAAACGAAATCTATAATTGGTGATTATAAGTGACGTAACTTGACGTCAATCTCAGTGGTACAGAGATACTGACATTTCATCTTGCCCTAGATCCCAAATTTCATTATCAGTTTATACTTACCCTTCCTGAATTTTATATGTTCCGTTCCAACCATATTTGTCATTTCGTTCACCAAATACATAGTGATGTTGTTAGTTTACGTTCTTTGTTTTTACTATCATTAGTTTCCTCCCACCAAGTACATGTAACGTTTAGGGACTTAAACTGGTCCATATTAAACGCATACCTTATCATGTTTGTTATTGATCACTGAGTGATCTCTGAATACATGTAATACTATTCAGTGGTTTTCATACGTTGGTGTAGTTGTGTGTGGGAAAATAGTATGAAATCTGGACAAAACCTCTGAAGTCGAATGTTTGTAACTTGCTGATTTGGTTCTGTGAAAGCGTACTGCGGTATTTGTATGAGTTAATGATTCTTCCGTATTTGATGGCCCGCTGATTGCGAATTCCTAATATTACATGTTCATTTGTTCTCATCTAGTTCTACTTAGAGTAAATTGCACCATTTTGGGAATTCCTGGTTTTTACATGAATTCGAATACTTCTGATCATCATAAATACCTCTTGTTAGGACACTAAGACAACTTAAGTATTTTTCTGTTAATTCTCTGATGAATCTAATTTTGCCACTGTTGTATGGTAGTTCATATAGATTTTCACTAAGTGGGAAGTGAATAAGAATACCTAATGGACGGTAATTGTTTTATGCCATAGATTCACTGAGGTCGAAAAATTCCTAATATTGAGTGTTGATCTATTTGGAGCAATATTCGAGCATACTGTGCTAGAATCGATCCTTAAGTAATCGATAGTATGCGTCATTACAGAACAACTAAATAGAAGGATATACAGTTCACTGGAATGGGTATGCGAGAAAAAAAGAGGCTCACGAACAGAAACTTTAAATGTCCAGTACACCTCATTTACCTGGATAAAAGCTTAATCTTGTGAATGGAATAAATCCACTCGACTTCTCTCTGGATGAGCTGGTTGCTTGAACTATAGCTCTCTATAAACCCCACCAGTTGATTGTTGGTTCTGATCAATAGTCACCGAAACACCTGAGTCACTAAGTGTTATGAGTTAGCGTAGGATGCCATCTTTTAGACTTAGATACAAACCTAAGGGGTAGCCACCACAATGGATTGGAATGAAAACTTGTATACTCCAATCACTTTTGAGAGAATCAATCAAGTATCGACTGAAACAAAATTAGTGAAGTGAAAGACTACTGTGATCATTATTTTAAAAAATGTGCATGACATTTTAAATCGCCAAATGAAGCGTTTTTTATCAACTTATTTCTAGGAAATATTACCGATAACTGTGAGAACTTTGCCTGAGATCACAAAGATGCATATGATATTGTTAAGCAGGATGTTAAGAATTTAATGAAGTCTATCTACTCACAGCTACATAATTATGGCATTATTCGGAAACAAACATCACTTGATCAGGATAAGTTATTAGGATAAACAGTGTCCAATCAACTAGGCTATACTTAACATTTTCGTTTGCTGATTATTGAAGTCATACTTTTTTCATGAAATCAGGTTAGTCGATTGGTTCTTTAGTGTTAATTTGTTTTCAGATGTCTTGATCATGGATATACTATCCTAACATGATAGCCTTAGTTAAATCCGTTTGCTAACGCATATTATCAATAAAATAAGCAAAGGTATATTAAATGAACCATCATTAAAAACGGTTTACATGCTCAATGAGTCCTGTTAAGCTTGTCTGCTTAATTTTTATTGGTCACTCGTTCACAGCCAATGAGACACTCAATGGATCAGCGAATAGAAATGAAATATTTACAGCTTAGACAATTCAGTATTGGTGGATTTATTTACCAGATAACTATTTAAGTCACTGCTTAATTAGTTCGCATTGTTCTGTTTGACTGTATGATGGCTGGTGATCACATCAAGGTTGGTTTGGTTGTTTCAGGCTACTTGTGTGGGTTTTCGAGTCTTGTTGAGGTTCCCAGTTGCAGTATTTGGTAGAATGAATATTATTTGCGATATGAAAGTAAATACTGAGTCATATCGATTGCACAGTAAATCTTTACACATAATTAGCAGTGATTTTTCACCTCACCAAGCCACTAAGTTACGTGTTCAGACTGAGTTCTGATATGATGCACAACCATTATAGTCACATAGTAGTCGCCCAGTGTTTGTTTTAAGAAAAGTTAGGTTCAGTATTTCAGGAAATGTTATGGTTTGCCTGTGAACTTGCTGCGAGAACCAAGAGGGTTTTAGAGAGTGAATCCATCTGGTCCATATTTCAGAAATATGTAATCCATGGAACAGTTATGTTTTATATATGATGGGTTTTCTGAAGTGGTTAGGACTTGGATAATGGAACTGTTTTCAAGCGAAAAGTGATGTGAAACACTAAGCTGTAGTTTCTATAGGTTATCTATTTTAACGGACGCGGACGAGCTGAATCGATCCGGATGACACTTGTGGCAGCTGGTGTGAACTACGAAGATGAGAGAATTAGTTTCCAAGATTGGCCGAAAATCAAACCAACTATTCCGGGCGGACGATTGCCTGCAGTGAAAATCACCGATAATCATGGGCACGTGAAATGGATGGTAGAGAGTTGGCTATTGCACGGTATATGGCGAAGAAGCATCATATGATGGGAGGAACAGAAGAGGAGTATTATAATGTTGAGAAGTTGATTGGTCAGGTGAGTTAAGCGTTTTACTGATTGGTGGAATTTTATGCTGTTGGAGTCCGGTGAGTTCAACTTATTGCGTTGAATAAATGAAGTTTAAATTTATGGGCGAGTGGTAACTAATGTGTTGTAATTACTAAAAATCATGATAAATTTGAAATATTCCAATTATTAAAAAAAGTGACTAAGACTGAACTTTTCTACCAATTGGAATATTAGAAATAAACTACTTATCTGCAGTACCGTAATAGTGTTCACTCCCGACCTTTGTTGCTACCTTGAAGTGGTGGTCGAACTTGCCCATCGTGATGAAGCAACCGAGCTATACCGGCTGGAACAACCGTTCATTAAGGTCCCACCATGTCAGACAGATCGGTTGAAGAGCGGTAAGACTAAAAGCAACAAACCTAGGATCCGAAGGCGAAGTCGTACTGCTGACTGTACAGAGGTGTGACAGCAGTAAGGTGTTTCCTTCAGACAACCAGCATGACGGCGGTACTGCCTTCCCACAAGGAGGAGTGTGGTTAGAAAAGGTCGACCCTAAAAATGCACACCTCGCCTTTTAGTTGAAAGAACGCTATTTAAAAAGGACAGTGGTATTCTTTCTCGTTGAGTTAATTAACTGTTTTGATCGTAAATTACGCATCAAAACTACTGTTTACACTTTAATTGCATCTACCCCAGTTAAAGTGATATTTTATTGAGTTTTTCGATTTTGCTTCTGTGTATTTATTGCATCGAAGCATACTTGGTCGACTTTTACTTGGTTTATTTAGTTAAGGTTTGAAAATCCTTCTACATATCCTGTTTTCGTCACCGTTCTAGTTGATTTTCAAGATGGCTAGGTCTACTCATAAATGTGGACAACCATACTGCTTATTTCCCGTGGATGAAGGGATGCAATGTGATGAGTGTAATAAGTGGTTCCATAAGATGTGCACCCGATTAAGCCCCACTGCATATAAAAGGTGTTCAAAGCCCAACTCTCATTGGCTTTGTAGTTTTTGTTGCTCGAGCAAAACATTGCTTATCCAGGAAGCAATTAGTCTCCTGGTGTTGGCTAATAAGAAGGTTGATGAGGGCTGTACTGATAACATTGGTACGGATGGCGAAGATTGCGTTAGTGTCGTAAGTGCTATCACGGCGCAAGCCAGACATCTACCTGTGCAACCCACAGTTAAACGTTCTCCCCCGAAACGATCAGTGAGTGACACGTCATTAGACGTTGGTGGCCATATTGCTACAGCAGCAACCGGTGACCCAGATAAAACAATTACTGTCCCGAGTTGTTCTAATGTAGACGTTTCGACTGATGGAAAATGGATGACGCGAAAACGCAGAAGAGTAGGAAAGATAGCTAAAACTAATGACTGTTTACTTGGTAAGTCCTTGGTGGACTCTCAGACCAATCCGCCAAAGTCTCATAGTAAAGCTTCGTCTGACATTGTTGTGAGTCATTCGCTTGACTCCCAGGACTCTGTTAAAATAAAAACTAATCGTAAGCTACCAGTAGTTAAAATACAGGATCTAACGTCACGGTCGAAAGCTGTGAACACAGTTTCAAAAGAAGCTAAACCCATCCCTAGTTTAATTATTTGGAATCTAGAGGAGTCGAAAGACAACGACCCTGCTAAAAGACACGCACATGACCTACAGTTAGTGGAGTCTGTGGTCAGGAATGTACTACCTGAAGAGGTTTCAGGGGTACATATTACAAAAGTAATACGACTTGGTAAATGGGTTGGAGGCGAGACCCAACCAAGAAGGATCCTGAAGCTGGTTCTCGGGAGTTTCGAAGAAAGAGACATATTATTGAAAAGCGCACAAAAAACTCGTGCCTCAAATATCCGTATTCGACCAGATTGGCCGCTTGAGGATCGAATCAAGTGGAAGAATGCTCTTACGGAGTTGAGGACTCGCAAATTAAATGGCGAAAATAACCTTACCATTAAGGGTTTTCGGGTAGTCAGGTCTTGGAAGCCAATGCTTCCGAGGCCTGTATGGGTAGAACGATTGATTTCCAAAACACCTTAAGTGTGTGCTACACGAACGCTCGTAGTCTTAGAAATAAAACGTCCGAGCTAAGTCTGATGGTGCAAGAATTATGTCCCGATATAATCGTTGTTACAGAAACTTGGTTCACCGTTGATATAGACTGTTCTCCTTTCATTGCTGGTTATATCTGTATCAGAAGTGATAGAGTTTCAAGTCGCAAGGGGGAGGTATAATATTTTACGTTAGGGATCACTTTCGTATACAATCAACCATATCGGAGGCTCATATCAGTGGCACATGTGAGGTTGCATGTTGTAAGATTAAATCTAGAAATGGGTTAGTGACTATAGGGGGAATATACCGTAGTCCGTCTTGTCTGGCTGACGACTTTATCCTAAGACACATCTGTTCTTGGAGTATGGCAGAATGTTGTCTCATCATTGGGGACTTCAACGCACCGCATATCAACTGGATAGAGCTTACAGCTCCAGGTAGTGGTTTCGATAGCGACCTTTTATCTACCGTTATTCAGTGTGCACTTGTACAATGTATCACAAAACCGACACATATTGATTTGCATCATGTTCCGTCACTGCTGGACCTCGCCCTCACCCACCACTCTGAGGATGTCTTTGATATCCAGCACCTTCCTCCACTAGTGAACAGTGATCACGTTGTAATTCACTTTAAGTTTAGGACACATGGTATACAATTCGTATCTGCTCCACCCCGTCCCAATATCTGGCGAGCTAATATTCCGGAAATCAGAAACCGTGCTATCTCGACCGATTGGTCGGTCGACGCGGATGGATTGATCGAAGATGAATGGAATAAGTTTAAGGCTACATTCGAGTCCGTAACGTCGCCGTTTATCCCATGGTCAGCACGTAAGCTATCACATTGCCCTCCATGGATTAATAAGGAAACCCGGAAGCTGTTAAAGCGTAGGAAACATTTCTGGGACTTATTCTTGTTGACAGGTCATGCACCATTTAAGCGTGAGTATCAAAAATACCGTAATATCTGTAAGAAAACCATAGCGAAATCCCGTACCACTTACGAACGACAGTTAGTATATGATAGCCGTACTTGTCCGAAACGATTGTTTTCGTATGTTAAACGGCAAATGAAACGTAGTGATGGTATTCCCCCGTTGCTGTTACACGAAAATTCAGAATTACTAGCTGAATCAGATCGAGCAAAAGCTGAGACTTTTTCAGATTATTTTAGCGAAGTCTTCTCTACGTTTATTGTAACAAATACTTGTCCCACTCACACCGAGATACCAACCATTGAATCCGTACAGGTGACTGAGGAAACTGTCCTTCCGTTGATAACTAACCTCAAACCTGGTAAGATACCGGGCCCTGACGGGTTACATCCACGGTTGCTGTCATCTCTTGCGGACATTATTTCAAAACCGCTTGCGACACTCTTCAACATGTCCCTCTCACTCGCCCAACTCCCTAGAGATTGGAAGGACGCTATAGTTAGTCCTATATTTAAGGACGGTCAGCGACAGATAGTATCTAACTACCGGCCTGTCAGTCTAACTAGCATAGTCGTTAAGTTACTCGAAAAGATAATTCGGGTTAGGTTGCTAAGCCACATAGATTTACACAATCTGTTAGCTCCTGAGCAACACGGATTTCGTAACAAGCGTTCATGCTTGACTAACTTGCTTATTGCGAGGGAGGATTGGACAGCAGCCCTAGATCACGGTCTGTCTGTCGACGTGATATTCATAGATTTTAGCAAAGCGTTTGACAAGGTTTCACACGTAGGTCTTATGCAGAAGCTCACGAGCTTCGGAATAATAGGTACTGTACATGAGTGGATAGGAAATTTCTTATGTGACCGCAGACAGAGAGTTAGGGTCAATGGAACGCTATCCGATTGGAAGCCGGTCAAAAGTGGTGTACCCCAAGGCACCATCTTAGGCCCTCTGCTCTTCCTTCTCTACGTTAATGAGTTACCACTGTTACTTAGGTCGTCGACATTATTGTTTGCAGATGATGTAAAAATCTGGAGAACAATAAAAAGTGCGGCTGATCATGTGGATCTTCAAGCTGATTTAGACGATTTAGTTAGATGGGCTCGAGAGTGGGGCTTAGAAATCAATGCTAGGAAGAGTGTACTAATGCACGTCGGTCACGGTAATAGTTACCGTTACACTATTGAGGGTAAACCTCTTCCATGCGTTCAAGAGCATAAGGACTTAGGAGTAATATTAAGTCATGACTTAAAAACAACTGCGCATTGCAAAGCAGCCGCTGTCAAAGGTTTTCGTGCGTTATGGTCACTTCGCCGAGCGTTCAAATCTTTTGACGAGGAAACGTTTCGAATTTTATATCCCATTTTATATAGACCACATTTAGAGTACTGTATCCAAGCAGCTAGCCCGTGTCTAGTAAAGGATACTAACTCCCTTGAGCGTGTCCAGCGTGTGGGAACGAAATTAGTGAAGGGTCTTTCTAGACTCCCTTACGATGAGCGCTTAAAACGCCTAAATCTTTTCCCCTTGTCGTATCGTAGGACACGAGGTGACCTTATACTGGCATTTCGTATCTTTAATTATGATTTGGGTGTTAATATGTCTTATCTTTTTGCTCCCTCCAGCACTAATAATCTCCGAGGTCATAGCAAGAAGGTTCATAAACCACGATCTAATAAACTTAAAGTGGGATCCCGTTTTTCTCATCGAGTAGTCAATCATTGGAACGCCTTACCCGAACAAGTGGTATCAGCCCCATCAGTGAATACTTTCAAGGAAAAGCTGGACCTTCACTGGAAAGCAATGTGTCAGGATTAACACAGGTTCATCAACCTACTATCCTTATTACTGAAGACTGAAAAAGACTGACTGAATCCCACGGATATCCGTCTCCGGCGGTAAGGTCGCAACAAGTATGGAGCTAACACAAAAAATACCCATAAAAAGGTTGTGTGTGACCGACCTCGAGCAGTTGTCCCTTGGGCACTGCGGTCACGCTCTCAGATCACTAAGACCACCTCTAATTCAATTAGTTTACCTAATATAGTATCCAAAATGCTAGCCTCGATAATTATCAGACGCCTAACTAAGACTCGTGAACTGCAAACATGAGAGAATCAAGCTGGCTTCAGACCTGGCCGTGGCTGCATCGACCACATATTCACCATTCGTCAGATTCTAGAACACAGGCATACTTATCGGCGTCCGACAATGGTGGTCTTTCTTGACCTAAAAGCAGCATTTAACTCGGTAGACCGCGAGATTCTGTGGCAGTGTCTGTCATTGGAAGGCGTACCCCAGAAGTGCATAAACCTTGTGAAGGCTCTTTACTCGAACACTACCAGTCGAGTCAGAGCTTATGGCGAACTGTCATCTGCTTTCGCAACCTCAAAGGGTGTCCGTCAAGGCTGTCCACTTTCTCCATTTTTGTTTAACTTCATAGGCCTATTGATGGAAATAACATTCTCATCTACTGAATTCTCGGAAGTCTGATCAGCCCTAATGGGTTGGTGTCTGACGAAATCTCAGCACGGATTCGAGAAGCTCGCTTGACTTTTGCCAACTTGCGTCACCTATGGCGAAGGCGAGATATCCGTCTATCAATAAAAGGACGAGTATACTGCGCGGCAGTCCGTTCTGTTTGATTTACGGCAGCGAAACATGGCCATTAGGAGTAGAGGACACTCGTAAGCTACTAGTATTTGACCACAGATGCCCTAGAAATATTGCTGGCGTCTGCTGGGATCACCGGGTAAGTAATAGTGAGGTAAGACGCAGGGTATTAGGGAATGATGGTAAATCAGTTGATGAGGCTGTGAATCTTCATCGACTGAGATGGTTGGGCCACGTGTTACGTATGCCTGAACACCGATTACCGCGACGTGCAATGCTAACCGGTGTAGGGGATGGTTGGAAGAAAGTTAGGGGCGGCCAAACCAAAACGTGGCATCAGTGCCTGAAGTCACTAACTTCTAGTCTGAGCCATGTTGGTAGATGCAGACTACTTGGTTGGGGTCCGCGTGACTTTCGTAACCAATGGTTGGAGACCCTTGGTGACATGGCTCAAAATCGATCACAATGGCGTCGGTGTATACACTCTCTGTCTTTCCTTAAACTAAGAGATTAAGATCGATCATATCTTTCTTTATACCAACTTATTCTTCCTTCCTGTACTGTATCCTTATTGCAATCTTTCTTTTATATATTACCACCTCTGAATTAACTACTTCTATGGATCCGGTGTCCATCTTGTTGTGTTAGTGAGGTATGGCAACTTGGACCGATGCATATATGTGCCTGGTCCTACGTTGTAGCTGACTGACTGACTGTTCACTGAGAACCATCCACTTCACCACTGGAAAATACTTCGTCGTGTTTCACTTTATTTGTTTACATCTCGACAATACTTGTTGTTCTTGTGACATTCTATACTGGATTCTCCTTTTATGTAAGTACTTACCTAAGTGTCAACGTGTCTGAAGGGAGAACAGGCAGGTTAACTCGTGTAGGTTGTTGACCTAGAGATGGCGCAGCACGGTCTTGAGGCATTATCTCACGTGGCTCAGAACAGACGCAGTGGCGATCCTGCTTTAACTTTCTTACACTTCATTAAGGCGGGAGTAATTGAAGTTCTTTCTTCACTGGACTGCCTCTCCCATTATTATTAGTCATTAGTAGTAGTGGTATCATTATTATCGACAGATTAACGTGCCTATAGGTAGTCCTGCGACGATTTAACCACACAAAAAAGAATTTGCATAACTTAATCACTTAGCAGGGACTCAAATAGTCTCATATTGAAAGGAAAACTAAAATAAGCTATCAATAGAACGTTTTATGCAGCCCAACTTATCATTATCGAAAGTCAAGGTTTGTGTTTCACTATAAAACCCAAACAGCATGTAAACGGTTGTTGCACATCCTATTGTATCTGTCAATTTATTTGTGTGTATGGAATCACGTACATAGGGAGTATTAATCGTGAGCTGCAAATAAGGGCGTATGAGCACACCTAAATGGTTACAAAAACAAATGAATCCAGATGTTCTAATGAGATCAAGATGGACATTTGGTTGAGACTGGTCGTAAGGTTGATATCAAGTCAGTCGGAAGCGGAAACCCTCTATATTTGTTCAAAATCAATTTGTTCTTACCTCCAACTTGTCCCGGTAATAGTGGTTTATTATCCAGATTGGTAATCACATTGACTTTGTGTGCTTCATCATTATCTTTCTTTCCGCTAACCTTTTAGTCTATTTGGTTGACCTTTTGTTTTTCATGTATAATGTCTTGACAAGTATGTGTGATCAGATTGCTCGAGATATATTGCGCAAATATATCACAATTCTGATAACCTTTGTCTTCTCATCGCACTGCCCATATTATTTTTATCATTTCATTCCCACACACTAATTTCTATTCATTGTTGCTCTTTGCTATTATACTCATCTTCCATTCTCTAAGTCTTCGCAACCTCCGTTTTAACTGTGTGGTGCATATATGTATTTGGTGCCGCCTTGTGCCAATTTTTACATGTTCAAATAAATAAATAAACAGCTCCTAAGGAAAACCACAATTGTAATTTGTAAATCCAACTCAAAACTCTATCATTTCTCTTAATACCTAATTCAGCACATTTTATGATATCACATATATTATGTGGTGATGAAAACTCTACATGGTGGCAACCCTTAGTCAAAACACTAGTTCGATTCCTAATGTGTAGTTGTGAAGTCTTACCTTTTCTGCAAATAATATTTGGGTATGTGAAGGTTGTTTTATTCAGAGCAAGGATGTTATTCCACTGGTATTTTATTGGTTTTAACTGTTCATTGTTTTGTAACTATCCAGTGTCTCCTGATCGAATGATGAGTCGCCCAAAGTCGTCACTATATTATACTTTTACTTCATATTTTCATTAACTTTTTGATTTTGTCTACTAAACATAGGCTGAAGATCTAGAACATGAATATTACAAAACTTTGATGAAGCCAGAAGAAGAGAAACAGAAGATAACCAAAGAGATACTGAACGGCAAAGTACCAGTTCTTCTCGATGTAAGTTATTTTAAAATAGTTCCAGTTTGGAAAGGACAGGAGGTTTAATGGCCTGTGTTAGTCTTGGCAATGGTGGTCTCTCGGTTGATCCAAATTTCTTTTGAATGAGTCGATGGATGTAGCCTCAACCACGTGCTGAGGTAGTGAATTCCACTCGCTCATGATTAGATGGTAAAGTCGATAGTCAGCTGACAAGTAATTTGTTCTGGGCTTATGAACTTTTTTGGAGTGTCCTCGTAAATTCTTTGTTTTTGGAAGACCAGGAAATTGAGGACATACCAGGTGCAAATTTATCACTAAGCAATTTGAAAACTAATCAAGTCGCCTCTAGTTCTGCGATATGACAACGGGAAAAGGTTTAGCTTGGCCAGTCGAGCATCATACGGAAGCTTCGCAATTCCAGGAATCAGTTTAGTTGCTGTTCTCTAGACCTCTTCCAGAAACAGTTTTTTTAAGCAGGGGCTATCCGCTTGTATGCAGTACTCAACACTAACACTATACAAAGTCAAAAACGTTTTAGCGTCGACATGACTAAATGCCCTACGTATTATTCGTTTTATGATTAATGTTTGTATTAACAACATAGCTTTAATGGGTGTAAGCTGATTGTGTGTATTGATTATATCGGAAACGATTTGTTGTGGTTCTTACCAAATTAAAGGCTTTCAATTTCCGTTGATAATCATAGTCTGGATGTACATGAAGACAGGTCCTATTGAAAGTCATCAGTGTTGAAACTGACGATCACATAACTTAAGTAGATTGACCACCCTCATATACAAGCTTTCAACATCGAAGTGTTGTCTGTCAGTTATGTCCATAACTAACCAATCAAATCGTTGTTTAAGCGACCACCACGCCAATCTGGTCTGATGTGTCTGTAAACTATCCCTCTCGCATGTGACCTACCAATTGAAAGACATTATTATCCTACTATATTGATGTGACTCATAATTTTATTCATTTCGATAAGGCACGTAGTACTGGTTAAAACAGATAAGGTTTAAAGCCAAGTTGTGTTTGTTCTGACTGTAGCTTTCACGTAAACTCTATGCTCGTCAGGATCGCGTTTACGGTTCTAGTAGTATATCTGTAGGACAAATTAAGTCATACATTGTCTGTTTTTGTTTGTTTTAACGCATCATTATGCCTGTAAGTCTCATAACCTATCCAGGTGCGTTTGTGAAAAGTTTAAGACATTTCGCTGTATAAGTTACAAAAGAGCCCAGTCAGAGATGTTTTGGTTGCTGGCAGTATGCATTGAAACAGATGTACACTATTCATATGTCGATTCCTAAACTGCTAACATTAACTGGCAACCACTCAATCTTTGTCGCAAGGGTCGACCAAGAAATAAGAAAAGGAAACGTGTTGAATTACTTTGTGCTGAGAATTCTATATTGTACAGAAATACACAATTAAATAAAGCTAGTATTAATGCTTACATGTTCGAAAAAATTAGTCTCTTTGATAAATTTCGATAATGAAATGAAAAGACGAAGTTTATTAGAATTATGTGATATATTTGCGCAATACATTTCGAACAATCTGATCACACATATACTTGTTAAGACATTTTTATATGAAAATTTAAAGGTCAGCTAGACTGATTAAAGTTAAACCGTAACAAAGATAAAAAAAAATAATAAAGTACACAAAAACAATCTGATTACCAGTCTCGATAATAAATCAGTATTAACAGAGTAGGTTAAGTGTAAGGACAAATTGTTTTTGAACGCATAAAGGGGCTTCCCTTTAATCTGTTTAGTTGACCTTTTAATTTTCACATAAAAATGTCTTAACAAGTATATGTGTGATCAGATTGTTCGAAATGTATTGCGTAATTATATCACATAATTCTGATAACCTTCGTTCTCTCATTGCATTATCGAAGCTTACATGTTCGTTTGGCTGTCAACTGAATTACGATATTACCAGTCTGTTTCTATACCGTTTATATCCAATCACTCCGAATTATTTTAATCCACATTGGTTTTTATGAGAACGAATTAGCATATCCACATCTTCAGTAAGCTATGTTAACGAGTGAAGTTGGTGTGTTGAGTTTATCTCAAACATGCATATGTGGCGATCAGTATTTGGTATAATTCTTAAATTTCGAATACATTATTCATGTCCACTCCTGAACTGCTAACATCCAATTGGTGATCACTCAATATTTGTCTCACTCCGTGTTAATATTACCTCGGAAGCGTTACTCTTAGATTACTTATATGCTGCTTTAGACATACTGTTGTGGCTTTGCTTCGTTAATCAATCATATCGATAACCGTCATAATATAAATTTCAACGGTGTTTGAAATCAAAAGGCAATGAGAAGCAGCAACTACAGTTCATTAGCGGATAGCGCAGATCACAAAGCTATAAGAGCATCAAACGAATTTGAAGTAGAGGCGAACATGTATTTGCGAGCAGTTACATAGGCAAATTTCTAGTCGAATCACATAAGGACACAGCAAAGTAAAGCAAAAAGCTAATAATAGGATTTGAATACATATATACATTGGGACCTTGGGTTTGTGGCTTTTAATCTTACCGCTCTTCAACCGACCTGTATGGCATGGTAGGACCTTGAGGAACGATTGTTCCAGCCAGTATAGCTCGATTGATAGCTGCTACCTTGACGCGGTGGTCGGGCTAGCCTATCGTGATGATACAACCGAGCTATATTGGCTGGAACATATTTTCCTGTAGGTTCTACCATGGCAGGCAGGTCGATTGTAAAACGGCAAGACTAAAAGCAACCACTCAACTCAAGGTCTGAGGGCGAAGTCGTACTGCTGACTGTAGAGGAGTGTGGCAGCAGTAAGGTGTTTTCTTCGGGCAACCAGCATCTGCAGCGATGCTGCCTTCCCACAAGGAAGGATGAGGTTAGAAAAGGTCGACCCTAAAAATGTCACACCTCACCTTACCTCACGGATTTTCGTCTCGGCGATAAGGCTCTTTGAAAAACGGAACTAACACATTCAAAACCTCCCACGAAAAGGCCGTGCGCGACCGACCTCAAGCAGTTGTCCCTTGGGCTCTGCGGTCACGCTCCCAGGTCGTCAAGACCAACACTAATCCGATTTCCTTTTAAGGTTCCTCAAGAAATACCCTTCCACGGTGTGGGCAGCCGGGACCAAGTTGGTCACATTCAAACCCTTCCTACACCTCCTAATACCTCTCTTGTCTCCACGACTAACCCTCCTCACGTCTCTTTATCACCTCGCACTGCTAGAGTGTTGTTTACGAAAATGAGAGGACGAAATGCGAATGTCCGGCACTTTAACCGGATCCCAAAGCAATGGTGCACATGGGCTTCAGTATCCTGCGGTAAAAAATGCCGTATGAACCAATTGTTGGTCACCCGTTTCCATGGGACTACATCTCCATACGATGCTCCACTGCCTTTTGGATCAGACCTTCAGGTCGAAGGCTCGGGTAGTGGCCCCTTAAGAAAACCACCTGCTTCGGTTTTTGGCACCTGGACAGTATCACAGCCCTCACACATATCGAGTGAGATTTGTGTGGCCCATATGTATTTGGTTCTTCCTTGTACTACTGTGTTATAAATCTCTTCTCTTCTTACGGCAATGACCCAGCTATTCCTATTGCTTAGTATTCTCGGACACCGATTCACTCGACAAGTCCCCAAATCAGAACACGGTTGAACAGGAAAGAGATTATATTCCAAATAGCAAGTCAGAAGCACAATAGGGAAAACGTCAGTATATTTATAGTTTTTACATAAGAAGATTCCAGAGTGTTCTCCAACTATCGGCTAGTGCTGATTGGATAAGAATTAGCCAATCAGCGTGCACCAAAGTAATCATGCATTGAGCATGCTTTAATCTAGTCTATGTCCCGCTAACACCTCCCCTTTGAGCAGATTCGTAGGATCTGGTGCTAGGGTCCAACTGCAACCGAGTGACTGGCCTGTGCTTTCGACTAGTCCATCGTCTAGGCAATAGAGAAGTATCACTCTTTTCTTGCACAGAAACTGACGTGTCTATTCCCGGCGTTTTGATTTCAAAGGTGTATAGCAGAACATCAAGAGGTTATCGATATTGAATCTTGTTGCTGGCTATCGAAGTTGCTTTCAATTGGTTAGCATGACGTACCCAAACTTCCGAGCCAACTGACACCTCGTAAACCACACCCCCCTTCTTTTTCACGATCCGACCAGCTGTCCATGTAGGATGTTTCCCACGATAGTCCATAGCAAGCACTTTTTGTCCCACCGTGAACAATCGTCTTTGTGCCCCATGATGTCGGTTAAACTGATTCTCCATCGATAGATTTCGTTGGGGTTCAATAGCTGGCGTAGGACGGATGACATCGGAATGTGTTCGTATCTTTCTTTTCAGTTTTCCTAGTAACCTTTCACTTGTCTTCTTTGGAAGTACTGGGGTGTCCAATGATGAACACGATACGTTACAGACACTGTTAATTGGTACATCCATTATTCCAAGTTTGTCTAACATATCTAGACCAAGAAGATCAAGGTTCGGCCGTTCTGTTAGGTAACATATTCCTGTACAGTTAGTTCCATTGAAGGAAAATTCACACGGTAATTCGCCAACCAGTTTTAACACACCACCTGATGCGTTTTTAGCCGTTTTCTTAGATGGCTTCATTGGCGGTTTACCCAGCAAGTTATACGTTTCTCTAGACACTAACGTGATATCTGATGCCGTGTCAATTTGAAGACGAGCTGATATGCCGTTTATCTGGATGGTAACATACTTTCTCCGAATGTCATAGTTTGTTTGAAAGGCAGCTACCAAAGAAAGAGATTTGGACTCGGCTGATTCCACATGTCGAGGACGTTTATGCTTCTTCTTAGGCTGAGACGTACGCTTCGGTGGACAATTACCTTCTTTATGTCCACGTTTGTTGCACGCCTGACATTTATGCTTCTTGAACGGACAAAATCGTGCATAATGCCAATCACCGCATAACCAGCATGCAGTCCTTGGTTTGTTACGAGTTGTTACCGGCTTCTGAACTTTTAACCTAGTAATAGTATTTACACTACCGCAGGTTAAATTAGGATTTACCTGTTCAATCAACTCGTTGTCGTGTCTGATGCTTTGTAGACGCTTACACTCATCTGTCAATGTTCTGAGTGTGACGTTTGGGTCTTGATCCAGTCGAGCTAAAAGTCTAGTCCTGATCTCAGCGTCTTGTGGTGACTGAAGAGCTTTGATGAATATTAAGCATTTAAATTGGTCATCAGTCAACGAGCGTAACTTGAAACGTTCACATTCTCTGTTGACAATGTCTGCTAGAACACCATATTCATCAGCTTCGCGTTTCACCAAATTTAGACACCGATATCGAATACTAAACAACGAGAATGACTCGCCGAATATCTCTGACAACTGAAATACCGTCTCCTCGAAACTGAGCTCTCGAGGTAACTTTGGCAATATATGGTCAGCAAAACGTGCATGTTCGTTGCTTCCCAACTTACGTACCAACAATCGGGTCTTCCACGCATCGTCTTGATTACAGAATTCTGTTCTAAATGTATCTTCCCAACGTCTGAACCACGTGAGAAAAGTATTTCCATTTTCGGGATCATAGATGAATTCTGGGATGCTGCTAGCAACTGCATCACAAGACGAACTTGAAATAGCGTGTGAACTCGAGCTGTGGATGTTGAGTTTTTCTGTCAGAGTCTCCAACAACCGCATTTGTGCATCAAGTTGTGCTTGCTGTTGTTTTAGTATTCGGTTAAGCTGGTCATCTGATATGGGCATCTTGAATTTGTTTTCCTTTTTCCCCGTCGCCACTGTTATAAATCTCTTCTCTTCTTACGGCAATGACCCAGCTATTCCTATTGCTTAGTATTCTCGGACACCGATTCACTCGACAAGTCCCCAAATCAGAACACGGTTGAACAGGAAAGAGATTATATTCCAAATAGCAAGTCAGAAGCACAATAGGGAAAACGTCAGTATATTTATAGTTTTTACATAAGAAGATTCCAGAGTGTTCTCCAACTATCGGCTAGTGCTGATTGGATAAGAATTAGCCAATCAGCGTGCACCAAAGTAATCATGCATTGAGCATGCTTTAATCTAGTCTATGTCCCGCTAACATACTGTGAAAAAAAACTATGGCATATAGATATCCGGTGCCACACATCCACGACATCACTACCGATATGGAAGGTGGCACGATCTTTCCAAAGATTGATCTTGTTAGGGCTTATTACCACATCCATTTGGGTTATTTGAATGTTTGTAAGTGCCCTTCTGATTAACTAATGCACCTCAAACCTTCCAGCGACTCATTGATCAGGTTGATAGAGGTTTGATAGGAGTATATGTATATATCGATGATATACTAGTAGCTAGCGCTACTATGGAAAAATATCTACGACAGTTGTTTACGAAACTTCAAGGACAATGCGTGGAGAAGTATGAATTTGGAAAGGAATCATTGCAATTCCTGTTTCATATGATAGATTCTCAAAATATCACATCAGGCTCACCATTTTAGTGGCCCTATATCTGACTCAAATTAGATTGTATGAATGATTGTTGTCAAAATATACATCCTGGCTATCCTCGTATATAAATATCCAGTTAACTCGCGTTTGTGATTAACAGAATTACAATAATTCATATACGAGAAATGATTTCTAATACGTCTATTTTGTACAATCATTGATCCAGGCGGACGATCAAAGGAACGAAGCGAAACGAAATAGTGCGCGGTGGAGAAGGCTTGTGAGCCAACTCGATTTAATCAAGCGTTAATTAATATCTATAGTCGCACAAAAATAGGCTACAGACGTGATGAGTAGGTCAAGGCGTACACACACATACGCCCATATAAAAATAGTCGGGGTTGACAAGTGAATAATTAACAAGATGCGACTCAAGAAGAATGAATAGATCGGCCTGTTCAGAAGCTAGAATAGGTTGTGTGAGCTCAAAATATGAACGGACACTACACATCTGACAATAAAATGTATATCAATCAAGATAAGTTACTTGGTAGAACCGGTAGTTTGAATTTCCGATAAGCTTTGTGATGAGACAGAAATCTGGAGAGTCGGAAAGTCATGTACTTATTGTACATTCATCAAACAAACAGGTTAAATAAGGATGCGGAAAGTCTTGATCGTCAGTAGAAAGTAGTAAGAGTTGGGCACTTACATGGTGAGCCATTTGTTTTGGTATTTCTTAAAAGTATTGACTGAAGTTGATAGTGAATGTCGTTATCCACTGTCATTTTAGACGAAACTGTTATCTTTTAAATGAGACAAATTAGGTGATGAAGACGTCTATCAATTAACTATACTGTCCATTCTTTTGTTCAACATTCATCTAGATTATCTGCGAATCCCTGAAAGCGTCCACAGGCAAGCTGGCTGTTGGGGATAAAGTGACTCTAGCCGACTTAGTTCTGATTGCTGTCATTGACCATGTGACTGACCTGGATAAAGAATTTTTAACTGGCAAGTATCCTGAGATCCATAAACATAGAGAAAATCTATTAGCCAGTTCACCGAGATTGGCGAAATATTTATCAGACAGGGCTGCAACTCCCTTCTAGAACTGTCAACAGAATGCTGGGTGTGACGAGATTGAAGATACTGATAGTAGTGCACTGGTGTGACCTTTTTACAAAGACGTCATTTGTTTTATGGTATTTTTTTCGCAATCGTTATTAAAATAAACTTAGCTTTCTGTTTAACTTTGTCTTCTGTGAATATTTACTCAAGCGCTTTAGACAAAAGTGTGAGTAAAATAAAGTGGGTGGATTTAAAGATTAAGCTCGTGTACAACGTCGTGGATTGATTGATGTTAAACATTAATACTGTTGAATGCCAGCCTAGTTGTGTAGAGGTTAAGAGGCCGCGTGCGTGGTCGTGGGTGCGCGCTCTAAGGCTAATTTGTATTAGCATTCATCGATAAGCAATATCTTTATGTCATTATGCTAACTGTGAATTAAATGAAATTGTTATTATATTCATTATCAATGCCTGTGAACTCCTTACCTAGGTAATACAATTCAGTCAATACTGATGAAAATGTTGTTTGACCTTTAAGTGTTTACTAAAGGAGTTTTGTGGAGATTGTAGTAATTTAATGGTTGAATTCATGAGTCAATCAAAGCTAGACCAGCATGGAAAGCCTTGAAGCACTGAACGGTCCTTGGTTCGTATTCCACGTGCGGGATTCTGGATGCACACTGCTGAGGAGTCTCATACTAAGACGAAACTGTCTTCCAGTGCTTCCAGGTTTTTCATGGTGCTCTAGCTTTAACTGACTCATGAGTTCAACTGTTAAATTGTTTACTAAAGCTTAATAATTTTCTGTCATCATTAACTTATGTACTAAGATCATTTTACTGCTACAACTCAAGTATTTCTATGGCTAAGATCAACTGAACTAACACTGATAAATTCACATCAAGCCCTATTGAATATGCTACATAATCATTTAAGAATTATAATCATCTCGATAATGCAATGAGAAGACGAAGTTCATTAGAATTATATGATATATTTGCACAATACATTTCGAACAATCTGATCACACATATACTTGTTAAGAACATTTATATATGAAAATTAAAAGGTCAACTAGACAGGATAAGGGTGAGTCATAACAAAGGAAAAATATTAAAGTACATAAAAACAAATGTGATTACCACTCTGGATAATAAATCAGTATTACCAGGGTAGGTTAAGTGTAAGGACGAATTGTTTCTGAACATATAAAGGTGGTTTCAATTTCCGTATAGCCAAGGCTTCAATAAACCTTAGTATACGTCCTTGAAGGCGTTTGTATAACACCACAAATGCTGATAAACTTCGTCTTCTCATTGCATTATCGAAATTTATCAAAGGGACTAATTGTTTTAAATAATAATCATAATGTGATTATAGCCCATATATTAGTAATACTTTATGGTTCATCTAATGAATACTGATCTGAATGGGTTTTGTGGAGAGTTTTAGAAATTTCACAGGTTGAATACTGATCTGTTTAACAATAGTATATGCCAACGTCCATAACTCATTTTCATTACTTTTAATTATTACATCGAAATTAAACGTTGTTACAACTAACTATCAGGTAATACAGTTGACCTCGTTCACTTTTAGCAGTCTAGTCGACCAAAAAAATTAATATGTCAAACATGAGCCTATTAATTAGCACTTAATACTACTTATATCTTAATTACTTTTCGAAGATAATAGTTACTGAAACGTTTACTTGTTTCGGCTTTGACATTGACATATTCACCTATTGCGAATATGTACATAAAATTTGTTAGTGTCCCTCTAATGCGTTTAACAAATAAATCAAATTATTTGGAAAATGTAATTAATTAGAAAATTAAGAAGTACATCACATGCTACTAATAAGTTGATTAAGTTACTTTACGGTAAACTATAAGGCATAAAGTAGACAGTAATGAATTGGCGAGATTTAATTTCTTATATTTCAAATATTAAAAATGTTTGCGTTGTCATTATGAAATCAAATTGGAAAATTAAGATAATTATTTCGTCTGACTGTATCCTTACAAAATATTTGCTACTGACATTACATAAAATAAACCCAACCGAATACTTCCCAAGCACAATAACTGATTTACATTATTGCATACACGAAGTTTTCTTATCATAATTATATACTGCTCAATTGAATAGCTTTGACAGTGTATAGTTGAAAACAAATTTTATGTTGATGAATTTGCGGAATAACACAACAACTTATTTCAATATAGACTACTATACTTAAGAATACAATATTGCATTTTTTGTCGATACTTTTTTAAAGCGAAACAAAATACATCCATTATATTAAGAATCATCATTTGCAAATATCACCTATACATAAATGCTCTTCGGTTCTTTCTCTTAAATTATCATTAATTTGTACTGATATGCTGTGTATTGTTACAACGAATTCATGCATTATTAATCGTGGGAAGTGGGGAAGAGTTAGAGTAAGGAATTGTTGTGGAGAAATGTTCGACCCAATAATTTTGGTTTTTGAATACTATCAATCATTAATTATGTTGATTGTTCGTTTTTCGGTTTCAAATTTCATGTAATAAACGTTACATCTCGATAATACTTGTTGTTCTTGTGACATTCTATACTGGATTCTCCTTTAATGTAAGCACATACCTAAGTATCAACATGTCTGAAGGGTAAACAGGCAGGTTAACTAGTGCAAGTTAGTGGCCTAACAGATGTTAGCATCAACATAATGTGGTAAGCACTAAACCCGACCATCCGCGTTTCGTCCTACATGGGATTCGTCAGACGAAAACACCTGTATTCCAGTTTTGGTAGAAAACACCGTGTTTGACACCTGAATTCCCAAAGTGTATTGAAAATCAAGTTTCAAGATTTCACTCTGGGGTGGGACTAATTGGTCAAGTTTATCGGTTGCAGTCATTAGTTAGCCGTCAGAAAATTAATGTGTTTTTAAATACATGACAGACAGAAATGGAAGAATTAATAATAGCTGTCTCATGGAAGTGGGAGCTGTTATACTCCGGCCATGAAGAAGAAATGCTCCATAAACACAAAAAGTTGCATTGATGCCATCCAAGCAAGCACAAAATGCACTTATAGGATGGGAATCTCATGGACCCAGGATCATTAAAGCCTCTTTCAAAACAAAGAAAGAGGGTATTACAATGAGAGTCATCCAATGCTATACGCCTACCGACGACTACAATGAAGACGTTAAAGATCAATTCTATGATAGGCTGCAGTCAGTTATTAAGAAATGTCCAACAAAGGACCTCACCATTCTGATGGGAGACCTAAATGTCAAGGTTGGATTGGACAACACCATGGGACGACATGGATTGGGAGATAAGAACGAAAATGGTGAGAGATTTACAAAACCATATTCCCACATAAATACATACACAAAGCCACAAGGATTTCACCGGACCACACTACACAGAACTAGATAGGCCATATCTACATCAATAAAAAGTTTAGAAGGACGATAGAGAATGCGAGAACCAAGAGAGGAGATGATATTGCCTTAGATCATCACTTGCTGGTCGCCAAGATGAAGCTGAAACTCAAGAAGCACTGGCCTACGGGGCGGACAACATCACAAAAGTTTAATACGGCTTTTCTTCGGGATACTGACAAACTCAGAGAACCCAAGATAACCCCCAGCAATAGGTTCCAGGCCTTCCACGATTTGCTCAATGGAGATAGAACTATTATGGAGAACAACGGGAAAGGAATGAAGGAAACAATCACTTGTGGAAGCCTGTTATTTAATCGTCATTTAGATCGAACGATGTTGTCGAAAGGGCTCTCCTTTTTAGTGGCCCGTGGATATGACTCCAAGTATATCGTAATGATGATTGTTGTCGAAATATATATATCGCCTATCCACGTATATAATCGTCGACTTAAATCGCGTTAGTCAATAATGGAATTAAATAACTCAAATAACGAGAATGGACTTGTGAATACATATATTTTGTATATAGAGCGAATGGAATAGAATGAAGTAAAACGACGCGCAGTGGAGATGGCGGGTAGACCAACTCCCCTTTAACCAAGCGTTAATCAATATTTATAGTTACACAAAAGTAAGTCACAGACATGTGATGAGTAATGGGATAAGATATGTACACACACCTACGCGCCCATATAAAAACAGTCAAGATTGATTAGTGAATAAATAACAAGGTCAGAATGTGACTCAGGTAGAAGGAATAGAATGGGCTGTCCGAAAGCTAGAATAAGGTATATGGGCTTAACATAGTAACCGACACTACACACTTCAACATGTCATGAGGTTCTGGGCCACAAGAAGCTCCATCACAAGGAATGGACCACTGTTGATACACTGGATAAGATCCAAGAAAGACGGAACGGGGAGGCAGCAATCAATATCAGCCGAACGAGAGCAGAAAAAGCCAAGGCACAAGCTGAATACACAGAAGTAAACAAGCAAGTGATGATGAGCATCAGAATCGACAAAAATAAGTATGTGGAAGATCTAGCAATGACGGCGGAAAAGGCTGCAATAAAAGGGAACATGAAACAATTGTATGATACAACAAAGAAGCTCGCTGGAAATTATTGTAAACCAGAACAGTTAGTAAAAAGCAAGGAAGCCAAAGTAGTCTTACATGTTAATACTCATCCAGCGCTAACCAAAAACTCTCATACCAATATTTCACACATATCGAAAATATAGATCATAACCAAATAGTCGAATGAGTGTTTGGGAATTGTGAACATGGATCTAAGATGTAATGAAACCATGTGTCTGGTTCGTGTTTATATCGTGATCATCGCCAAATCACAGAACAGTTGGAGAGGAAGTTCTCATTCCATTACATTACAATGAGATGTTTGATTGTAGGCTTTTCATTATGAATTTCATGAACAGTGAAACGCGTACATATTCCACACGTCGATAGTACATCATTTGATACAGTGCAAATTTGACTGATTACTTGAGTGAACTACTAACTGGTTGAATAACGTTTTTGTTACTTTATTGCAGTCCATCTAAAATAAACAACTGTTCTTTCTTGTTCACAAT